CTATTTGTCCAGCTAAAACTTTAAAAGGGGGTGAAATTGAGACTTTATCAGGAAAAATCAATTTCCTTGTTCAAAATTCAAAGATCCTTACAGATTACGTTGTTTCAGTGGAATTTTTAAAAATTATTACTACAGTTTAACTAGATCATTAACTAGGACTTGAAATATTTCGTTTAAAAAAAATCATTTTAGGAAAAGATTTTAGCCTTCCTAAAATGGTTTTTGTCACTTTCCACCATTAAATTGTAGTCAGTATTTCCAGTATTTTGTTCACCCACCTTCTCTTTAGCTCTGTGGTTTTGGGGAATAATACTGGTTAGTATCAGAGAAAAAGCTCAAACTAAGTAAAGATTCTTAAATTTTCTGTTTGCTGGAATTAGGTAGCGGCACACTGCTGCATTTTAGTTAAATATAAAATTCAGTTTGAGCAGGTGGTGATCTTCAGTTCTACAGATTGTGAAATACAAATAAAAATGAATTCCTGAAGTGAAAAGTTTGGGAGAAAGATGCTTTAAACTAAGCATTCCAGAAGTTCAGAAGACTTTCTATGGGCAGTACCCATTACACAGATAAGTCATAGTGCAGACCCTTGAGGCTCTGCTATTGCCTTTCAAAGCCTTTTTTTTTTTTTTTCAGTCTCTAGGTGCAGAAATAGAGCAGGCTATGAAAAAAAGCATAGAAGGAACCAATCTTGGAGCAGAGTATACCCAGTACTAATTTTCTTCTACTCTTTTTTTTTTCCTTTCACTGTGTTACAGTCTGTGAAAGATTAATAAATTTTGATAAACATCTTATAAATATATACATACTGTTAGTAAACAGTTGTTTGTATCAGTATGAGTCATTTCAGCAGTACTGCTTTTCTCAGAGCATGTAAGATAACTATCTCAGAAAGTTTGGATCAGGGAATATGAAGATCATCTTGCAGTCTGGAGCACGCTGGGGGATAAGACAGCCCAGGGGAGAAGCTGAAGTAGGAGAGTTAACAAAACCTGAGGAGACTGAGGGGAAGGCTCAGAGGTGTGCCAGAAAGAAGCACATAGAAAGAAAAGTGTAACATCAAGTGTTTCAAATTTTTGCCAGGCATTCACTCTTCCCAGAGATAATAGAACAGAAACATCTTCCTTTTCTGTTGTACTCTCTGATTTCCTACTGTTAGGATCCAGAGCTCACGCTGGTACCATTTGGATTATAAGTAAGCTGTACTGTCAGGTTATTGGACTTACATGGACTAGACTGCCTGAACAGTACTATCCAGTGGAAATGTCATGTGTAACACATATATAATTTAAAATGTTCTAGGAGTCACACTTAAAAAAAATAAAGACACAGATAAGATTAAATTTAATATATTTAACCCAGTATATGCAGAATATCATTTCAATGTATAATCTATAAAAAGTCATTAATGAGACATTTTACCCTTTTTTTTTCAGACTAAGTCTTCAAAATCTGGTGTGTATAGTACACTGAAAGCATATCTCAGTTCACACTAGCTGCATTCTAAATGTTCTACCAGTGACTATCATTTTGGACAGTGCTGATCTAGAACATAGTTTAGAATGAAAATGTTTCCCAAGTTCTAAGTAACATAATATTTTGGAACACAGTCTAAAAACTCATTTGACCTCTGAGCCTTGGTTTCCCTTTCTTTAAAAGTAGAGGTTTGGACTAGGTGAGCTCTAAGATTTCATACAGTTCCAATATTATATGTGTCTAGAGAAATGAACTAATAATATTTATGGTATCAACAGTATCCCACAGAATTTCTTCTTTTGTAATTAAGCTGTGTTATCATTGACCAGATTCAATTAGGAATATTTATTTTATTTGAGCACAGGCTAGTTAAGTGATAAAGCTGGGATTCAAACAAGGTCTGCCTTTATCACAAAGTTTGTGTTCTCTCCACGATGTGGTATAGCCTCCCTCTCAGTCCCAGGAACTTTCAAGATGCCAAGGTAGGAGATAAAATGTTGAGATTAATTACATTTTAAAAAACTGCAGCTTCACTGTTGAATACGTATGTAAGGCCCTATACTGTGTTCACTGATTATCATGAGATAGGTAGTTTAATTATTTCTTTTCTTCACATTGATTTTCTGGACCAGCAGACTTTATCAATGTATTAATGTTACTGATCTCATAGTCTTCTTTGACCAGTCCCATGGCCCATTCCTTCCCCTTGACTTTCATGATAGTTTACAATGCAGACAGCCAGAAAGTAGCATTGGGGTAAAACAAATTGTTAAGTTGTTGGACTGTAAGATCAAGAAACCTGTCAGCCTCAAAAAAAGGTTATAGTGAGAATTTGACTCAATAGTGATTGAGGAGGAAAGAGATTCTTCATGTATATATTTTATCTGATTCTCAAGGTAAAGACTCACATAATTCTTAAATTGTGAACTGGTGACCTGTGAGCTGTATACAGGCCAAGGATGTTTTCTCATGGTATTCTCCCTTTGTTGGCGAAGGAGTAAACATTTAAAGATTGGGAGATGTCACAGTAAATTACATATTTTCTCTTTCTCTTGAAAAATGAGAAGATCTAGCAGCCCTGGGCCCACATCTTTCATGAGAATGATTAGCTGCTGCCTCCCTGAGATGGAGTCCGGTGTACACCAGTGCCCCTACACCAACCAGTCCTCATTTTGCATTTCCTGCCTGGGCCTGTAGATGCTTGAACTTGTGATCCCTGTATTAAAGTGTACATGATAGAATCTACAGAATTCTAGCTTATTTTCCTACACTTGCTATTCTGTGGGCAGTCACTTTAAAGCTTATGAAGAGAGATTACAGTGTGTTAAATCATGTCTTATCAGCAATTCCTAGCCAGTGTTTAGAATGGTCATAAATTCTTCTCTAAGGGAAGGAAATAAATATTTGTCAAGGACCTTATACTTTACAGTGTGATATCTTATTTAATCAATCATAATTCTAAGTGGTAAGTAGTATTAGCATTGTACTTATTAGGAGAATGAGGCGAAAGTCACATAGCTGGGAAGGGGTAAAGCGGGGATTCAGATCCCCATCAGTCTTTTTCCAAAGCTCATGTTCTTTCCATTATAATGCATTGCCTCCCTCTCAGTCTCAGAAATTGTTCACAGTGTCCGGATTATATGCTTGGCCTCCAACGTACTTACTGCAGTTTACAGGCAGGAAACGCATTTTCATCCTAACGTGTATTGCCATTTTTATATTATATTAGAAAAGTTCATAGGTGCCCGATACGTAGTTGCTTTGCTTATACTTGGTTGCTTGTGCTGCATGACACTTGATAAAGGAATCAATACAATATTTTGAGCTCTTTTAACAAAGGAGAGGTTTTTTTTTTCTTTGATACCTTTGCTGGACATGTAATCTCTTTTAACTGGCATTTATTAAGTGTTTTATTTTTTTCATTCAGAAAACATTTATAGTATACACCTCTGATCAAAGATCCTGGAAGAAATTCCGAAGGACAGGATATCTCCCTTTAATAATTTATATTCTTTAAAAAAAAAACTGGAGGGAAAATTACGTAACAAATTGGCTCCTTTAGAAAGTAAACTGTACGAAAAAGGACAGGGAGATACAGATAAAGGTGATTGCCGGAGGGAAACAGTTGCAGCTGGTGATCATTTAGTTATCAGACCCAGCTATGCTAAAACTCGTCAGGAAGCAGAGCCCACTCTTAGATTCAGAAGCAATAAAGACATACATCATGTGGTGTTAAAACCATGGTGTGGGAGGTCTTAGCCTGTTCTTAGATCAAACCCTGAGGCTGAGCACACTGTGAGTAATAATAATAAAAATAACTTGAACTTCTCACCCATAACAGGCACAACTTTTAAATCTGACTCTGAAGAGATACTTGCAGACATTCAGCAAATAATTTCTCTTTCCTTCTTCTTCCATGGTTTGCATTATGTAAACGACTGAATTACTATGTTCTCTTCTCCTTAATAGCTTCAGTCATTAATAGAGGTCATAAGATTGTATCAGCCTCTACTGATGATCACATTTTCAGTCTGTTTCTAACACTATTTTCATGTTATGCCTGACAAGTTGACATGTTCTCAATATTGCCTATGCTTCTGTATTCAGTCCTTATTTTCTCCTTCTCTTTTAGGTTCTTTTGTAAACATTTTACAACTAGTATCAATGTTGTTAAACCTGTCTGTATGTAGGTCAGGGTGCTGGGGCCAGGGATGGGTATTGTGTATATGTGTGTGTATGTGTTTTTAAGACATAAGAAACAATCTCATCTGTTCACTTAAGTATTGTTTCCATTTGCAATAAGTACTGATTTGATTCTAGAGTTGTCTTTTTAACATTTTTAGCTTTAGACTATTGCAGACCTTATAAGCAACTATTGGTTTGTGTAAGTAGAAGATGTTCATGCTGCTAACTAGAGAACTGTATCCTAGCACTGTCTTTAAAGTGTTAGCATATTATAATTGAATTTAATTGCTTGGACTCAAGATTGATTGTAGGCAGGATTGTGAAGTGAGGGAAGCTGGTCCTCTTTCCCTCCCACCGCCCTGTGTGGCAGAGCTCTTCTCTCTCTCCCCATCCTGATTTATGAGGGTGTCTGACTCCTCTCCTCGTGGTATATTCTGAGGCCAAGTTTTTTGTATGTCATTAAACATCAATGAGTTGATCAAAGTAGTGTGGTGCTCATGGTTGTTATCTACCCTGATTGTCTTTCTTCTTTTCAACTGTCAGAAACTTGCATTACAAAACTGTTTTCTTTTGCGTTTTTTCGATCTCAGCTTTTCTGACCTTCTTTTAGTTATATTTTAATTATGAAAATAGTTACTCTCACTTAAGGAAATGACCAGTGGTTTTTCCTACAATGTTTCAGACTAGGTCTTTATACGAAAACAATTTTATATACAATGAGAATAGAACTCTGAAGTAGCTATTTTTTATCTTGTTTTTATTGCATCACATTAATAATCCACTCTTCTGTGATCATTCAGCAAATACATCTGTCTTAATTTTGTCTTGTGTTTCAACAGAAGGAGAATATGTTAAAATGTTTATGCGAGGTCGGCCAATTACGATGTTCATTCCTTCTGATGTTGACAACTATGACGACATCAGAACAGAACTGCCTCCTGAGAAGCTCAAACTAGAGTGGGCGTATCCTTTTCTGGCATGACAGCAAATTTGTTTGCTATGTCTTTAGTATAAGAAAAAATAGTTTACCTAACCTTTCAAAATTGTCTTTATATGAAAAGAGTAAACATAATAAACATAGCAATCACTTGAGAAAGTAAAGAGATGTCATCTCTGATCCTTTCACATGTTACATATATTTCGCTGTTAGCAATTTAAAACCACTAAAATTAGTATCTTCAGATAGGGCAAGCAGTTTTCTGTGAATGTCAAGGCAGATACTTGTGCAGTAGAAAGGCATCAGGGTAGCACTGGAAGGCTAGTGTTTGAGTCTTGGCTCTGCCACTTACCCACAATGAACCTTACTTTCTTCACTTATAAAAAGAGGTTAATAACCCATACCTCCCAGGTGTGTTGTAAGAATTAAGTAAGAAGAACATCAGTTAAGCATTTGTAACATATAAAATAATGTAAATTACTTTATTAAGAGCTCAGGTTAACAGGGCAGATTCTCAGGTTAACAGGGTAGATTCTAACCCCAGAATTAACTTCTTCACCACCAAACTTTTTAAAAAGTGAATATATAAAACAGAGCTCTCCAGATTTCACTTAGAAAGTCTCACTTCTCTTAGAAACTCTCAGCGAAGCAGAAGGGAGCTAATAGTTTGAACTCTGCTTTCTGCCTCCATTCTCCGACTTCTTCCTCCAGCCCTTGAGTCATTCCCTCCTTTTGGCAGAAATTAGCTTGGGAAAACTCACCAGTCCTGTAATTCTGAACAACTTTTTAGCAGGTACTCTGCCTGTACCAAACAGTGCCTGGCTGTCTCTTCTTTATCTTGTAGGTCAAGCATAAGTGTCACTTTTTCAGATTGCCCTTCTTTTGATCTCTCACTTTCTCTCTCTCCATTTAAGTTAGATCCTCCTTTTATGCTTTCTCCTAGCATCCTGTTATTTTTATTTCTACAGTTTCTAATGATATATTTGGTATTTACTTCTGTCACCTTTGCAATAGCATAAACTCCAGGGACATAGGCCCCGCATTTGTTTTGTTCAAGACTGAATGTTCAGCTCTATGCCTGACACTTGGTGAATGAGGAAACTAAGATTTAAGCATATTAAAAGTCTAATAGTTACACAGGGCTCATGGCAGGATAGGAGTTTCCCAGTCCCCTTTCATTACACCTTCCTGATTCCCTTGAGTATCCATGAAAAAATTGTTAATTTAACACTTTGAAAATTATGGTTATTAAAAACCTTGACTCTTTCTGTTAAGATACGGTTATCGAGGAAAGGACTGTCGCGCTAATGTTTACCTTCTTCCTACCGGGGAAATTGTTTATTTCATAGCATCAGTAGTAGTACTATTTAATTATGAGGAGAGAACTCAACGACACTACCTGGGTCATACAGACTGTGTGAAATGGTTGGTATCATTTAACGTTTGTTCATTTTTTAATTTCATGCCCTCATTTTTGTATTTTTTTTTAATCTGGGTTTTTATTGGAAATGATTTCTTGTGAGAAACTCAAAACTTAAGGATATTATGGGCATTCTGTGGAATACATTTTAAGAAGAAAAAAGACTTAACAGGCCTCCAGAACGGTTTGTGTGGTATCCGCAGCGGTAAAACATCTCATCTGTAAATTTCAATTGGGACGTCTTCTGCTTTCTCAGATCTTTTATGGTCTTTTTCTTCTGGTCTATAACATCAAATATAGTGGGGGCAGACTAGACTTATGTCATATTTCTGAGAGTGATTACTGATTATTAAATATTGATTGAGAATTTATTTTATGTAGATAAATTTTGGACTTGAGGCTTTGGGGCAGAGGTGGGTGGAGGAAATCATGGCTGAATATGGATCAAAATATCCCATAGGATGTCAAACTATAAAAAAATCTAAGAGCACCTTTTAAATGTTTAGGCATGTTTTAAGTTTACTCACTTTCACCACTTCTTGTTAAGTTCAATTGTCTATTGCTTAAATCCATTACTTTCCCACATTTAAAAGCTTTTCTTCTATGTCTGTACTATTCTGGCAACTATATCTTTATCTAGAAAAAAATGAATATATATTAGACTATTAAAATATTATATAGGTATTATTAAACTTTTAGAGATGATTAAACTATTGCCTTTCTCAAAGGAAGAATAATTTATGTACGGAATTATTTATTACAACATTGTAATAATACAGATCAGAAACAGCCTAAATATCTTTCAGCTGGGGCTAGGGAAGTTGTAGTGTACCCACAGGTTACCATGCAGCCAGCTATAAAGGAAGAGTGAGGAAGGTCTCTGTGTGTTAATATGGAAAGATCCCCAAGATATATTCCTAAGTACAGATTTAAAGAATGGGAAAATGTGCAGTGTTCTACCATTTGTGTGAACAGGACGTAGAAAACAAATATTTATCTTGCCTTCCACATATGTAAAAATATTCCAGAATTATTAATAAGAAGAAACTGATTACAGTGATTACCTGGTTACGGTTTCAGAGAGCAGGGATAACAGCAGGGTAAATGAGATTTAGCACATGGGGGCAGAATAGGAAAGAGACTTGCACTCAGTGTCTTTTTATAGCTTTTGATATTTGAACCATGTACATATATTACCTAATTCAGCGATTTTACTCTTTTGAATGTGTTTTTAAAGGTTTGAATTAAATATGGCAGAATGTTAATGTTAGATTTTTTAGTTACTTTTGATATAACTGACCTCAATAAAGGACATAAACTATTTAAGTAAGGGGAAATAGAATTACTTAAAGAAACATATTGATGAAATCTAGCCTCCTTAGTGATCAAATAAAGTGATATCAATTATACCAATCAATCATCAAGGCATTTTAAAAGATACTATTCTTAATATGGGGAAGTTTAAAAGTTGTGAAACTTTTAAAACATTTTTATTTCTTATGACAATTTAAATTGCTACTACTCTTCTGGAAAATAGTGAGTAATACATACCAAGAACAAAAAATTTATATTCCCGGCTGAGTTTACCCCTTGGTTGTAACACGTAGGAAGATTCTAGATACAAATGTGAAGACATCTTTTAAAAAATCTTGCTCATCACTTGTATATTTATCATGAGAAATGTGGGCATATATGCTGCAGTATTTTCAATTTGTACTTAATAGTTCCTTGCCCAAAGTTTGACTTATAAGAGTTTAGCATTAAAAATGAATTAAAAAGTAGGTGGCCTAAATGTGAAGGTGTTCACTGCTGTGTTCCTTTAGAAATGACAGAAGAGCTGTTAATAATATGCGTAAAAATTATATGGCAAAATGGGAAAATGCTTATGTTTTGATAAAGTGAAATTGCACAATGCAGTGTTGCATCTTCACTATTAATAAAGCCATGTGAATATTTTTGCCTATGTTCAGGACTCGGAAGGAACAAAAAAAGATAGTTTATCATGCCACAATTATGAGTAAATATTTTCTTCATATTTAGTGCTCCAATAATTTGCTTAGTTTTAAAAAGAAAGAAGTACAGCTGAAAACTTAGAAAAGAAATCCTTTAGGTAATTGATGTTTATTTGATTTGCTAAAGAAAATAAAATAAATGAGTCACAGAGGCATTTATTAATGATTTAAAGACTATTTGTTTGAAAAATGTTGATACTGAGGCATGATTCTGCTGTTTTACATGTTACCTGTATTTAAAACTGTTGTTAATACTGCTTTTTAGCCTTGCTATACATCCTGACAAAATTAGGATTGCAACTGGACAGATAGCTGGAGTGGATAAGGATGGAAGGGTGAGTGACACAGTTTTATGCATTCTGTACCTAGTGATACTGCTATTAGAATGGAATTGGTTGTAATTTTAACCACAGTTCATTTATTGTATTCTTTTAAAATGCAACTATCAAGGGATTTATAGTATAAGCAGGGAAAAAATATTAGAATGTAATAACATTCCAAAAAAAACAAAAGAGAATCATACTAAAATATTTTTTAAAAAAAAAAAGCATTCTCCCTAAAGAAACTATTTACTTGTAAAAATGGGAGAACTAATAAACTTGTTACATATTTTTTAAACAGAATAAATTATCTATGTTTGCCAGAAGGTACTGAAATTTCCCTAAATTGATGGGCCCTTGATTTTATATGTGATTAGAACTGGTAACACTTAAAACATTTTTCAGTTACTATTTCATATTATTAAGTTGGCTTACATGACAAATCCATTATTTGTAAGGATCAACAGTGAATATTAATGATGACTGATTAGCATACATATGACTGACTGTACTCACAACAGTCTCTGGCATCAGCTTCTTTAAAGAAAAGGACTTAGAGGGATTATACTGAATGACTTTTAAGACCCCTTCCAGTTCTAAATTCTATTTAAGGACTGTTTCCGTAGCAATTTATTGGACAATGATTTCTTTTTTTTAAAAAAAAGACATTATTTTCTCAGGAGTAAAGATCATGTTTACAGAGCAGACTTGCTGGGGTTAGAATCCTGACTCCACCTTTTAATCGCTGGATAACTATGGGCGAGTTGTTTAAATCTCTTGTCTCAGTTTCCTCATCTGTTAAATGGTGATTATAATAGTGCATAACCCGTAGAACTATGCAAATTAAAAACATTAATACATGTAAGATACTTAGTAAATACTCAAATCATTTTCTGCTACTGTCATCACTTGTTAATTCCTTATTTTCATGGTATGAGAAGAAAATACTTGTTCGAGATTCTTTCAGGGCTTGTGTAAATGTAGTAGCTATTTTTTATTAATGTCTATCCGTACCTATTATTTTTTAAAGACGGCAAACAGTTCCTGTGGTAATGGTTATTTTCATCTACCTAAACACTAGTAAAGCCCTACCAGCTTGTGTTTTTCCACTTATTTTTGCAGCCCCTGCAACCCCATGTCAGAGTGTGGGATTCAGTTAGTCTATCTACACTGCAAATTATTGGACTTGGAACTTTCGAACGTGGAGTAGGATGCCTGGATTTTTCGAAAGCTGTAAGTAACAGTTTTCAAAGGAATAAGTAAGCTGCACAAAGACGCAGAAAAGAAATTAAGCTCAATTTGTGTGTATGTGTTCATATAAAGTGATAACTCTGAATTGAAAAATGAGATGTTAGCTAGTGCTTAGCAATGGCCAGCATTTTAACCTCAGTACTAAAGTACTTTGGTGTAGGTAGGATCCAGGATATTATACTTAATTATACATAATTTTTTTCTGTCCTGAAATAGGATGCTAATATAATAACAAGAAATGGTTATGACACTGCATACATAGCATAGTAAAACTGAAACAAGCAGTAAGATGTGCTTTTACTTTAGCATTTTTAGGGAGGTAGAGGGAAGTAATTAGGTTTTTATTTATTTATTTATTTTAATTGAGCTACTGGGAATTGAACCCAGGACCCCATGCATGCTAAGCATGTGCTATACCAGGGAGCTATACCCTGCCTGCCTTGCTTCAGCTTGAATCATATATTATAGTGTCTACAGGAGAACTTCTACATTTTAGGATCCATAATTTTTAATTTCAGATACAAGTACCTCTCCATATTTTATTGGGCTTCATTCATGCTTTAGTATGAATGTTATCTGTTCAGTTCCTAGCTATCAGCAGTTATATTCTGGATTATGGGAGTTTTGTGAGACATGGAAGAGGAAGGGACATTTTTAGAGCAGAAAGATAAATCTGGGTGGATATAGGAACTTTACTAGCTTGAAAGCACTGAATGTCAAGGGGCCTAATGAGTCAAGAATTGGGAGAAAGGCATTTGAAAAAGAAGGTAAGATGGCAGAAGGGAAACACTTTTATTACGTTTTTTACTCCCTAAAATTTCTGTGGCAGCAACTGTTGTCATCTTGTTGATACCGCTGTTATAGTGGTAAGACTATCTTGGATTGCCTTGTACTCTATAACTTTTCCTAGTTTAGGCAGTCATTCCAGTATGGGGTAAAAGACAGATACAGAAAAGAGAGTAAGCTCTGCTCTTCCTCAGTACTTCTCACTCATCACCACCACGTTTCTTTGTTCCGTAGACATCATAAGGCATACACTACAAATGCTACTAGAAAAAAAAATAGTCTTTTAATATCATTTGCGGTTTTTTCCCTTAAACTTGGAGGTACAAATTATGTGAATGAGAATAGTTTCAGAAAAATAGATTAAAAGGAATTTAGTTATGTTTTTACTTATCTTACTTATTCGTGTTAATGTAAATCAGGTATATCATGGAAAACTGAAATTGGGAAACTTGAAAATAGCCATTAATTTCAACTTGTTCCATGAAACTGTCAAAATTTAGGAGCAAAGTTGTGACATTACAGACATTTCATGTCTACTGCAAAGGAAAATACTTTAAATACAGTCAGCAAGAAGGAAGCATAAGATTCAGAATGGTCTAGGGTATCCTCAAATTAATTGTTTGCTATCTCTGAGTAATAGAAGTGGCTTCATGACAAATGGAGAGCAACCTAGGGAAAAAAATTAAAAATAGAAAAAAATTTTAAGAATCTTTATAATATTTCTGAAGAAAATACAGTCTTAGTATATTCATTATATTTAAAGGAATCATGAGTTTAAAGGATTTTGGATTATCTTAATGTTGGCAGTTTTAATAATATGGTATTTCTTCTTAGAATATCAGCCTTGTCTGAAAATTTTAAAATGCCTTATTTAAATTGACTTTTTCTTTAGGATTCAGGTGTTCATTTATGTGTTATTGATGACTCCAATGAGCATATGCTTACTGTATGGGATTGGCAGAAAAAATCAAAAGGAGCAGAAATAAAGGTAAAAAAATTTTAATCAAGTACTATCTTTCAGAATACAGTATTTGTTTTGCAGATCCTTGGAAGAATAGTGCATTTCCTTAGGTTGCAAGAACACACCAACTGGCCAAATTAATCAAGTTTATTGATTTGTCATCATTCTTATGGGACTCTTAAGATAAAACAGTAATCAGCTTCAACCAATTTCGGTAATATCTCAGACACATTGTACTCCTGACACATGTGATGGATGCCAAAGTAGATGGATGTCTAGTCTCAGAATTAAGAATGGCTTTGCCTGGCTTTTTCTTCTTTAACAAAATGTTATTTTGTTCAATCTTCAAAGCTTAAAAAAATCTAAAGGAAAAACTTAACCTCAGGAATATGACAGACATAACTGTAAAGCATATGTAATGATGAGTTTTTTTATCTTAATTATGTTTCTGGGATTATTACATAAAATGCTACAGCATTTTTACCTGCTGTAGAATAGTGTCAGTCCTTTTGTGTGGGTCAGGCCGTAACTTGTAAGAGAAGAATGCAAGGTTAGCACGGCAACTGCGTTCATATGGTTCAGAAATGGCCTCCCTCTGACAGGCTTTCAGAGGGATTCAGAGTGACAGGATGACTAAAAAAAGCCTGTCACGTATTTGCTGTACTCTTAAGTAACACCACATTCCTCTTCAGTTGCTCTCTTAGTTTTGCTTTCTATAAGCTTTACACTTTCAGCTTGTTGGATGAAAAGAGGTTATTTCTTTTAAATAGTGTAAGTTAAGCTTTTGAAAGAGGTAGAGTAGATTTGATTGTACTTGATGAAAGGAATGTAAGGTGTCAAGAAAGCTCAAACTTCAGAAAACATGAATGGAGATAGGTTGTCTTTCAGCCATCGTTCAGAGTAATTTAACACTGAAACCATAGGGAAGTTACACCGAAGTGAAATACGTGAATTTTGATCCTTTGTAGTAAAGGCTACCAGATGAAATCTGTGGTTTTCCTCCTGCTGGTCACTCCTTGGTTTCCTTCCCAGGACCTTAAATGATGGTACTCTTCGGAGTTATATCCGCTGTCTTCTGCTGATAATCATGTACCGCTCCCGTTGCTCCCTTGGCCTTAATTACGATTTGGTGTGGCCCATGTCTGTTAATGCCAGCCCAGATCTCTCTCACAGATTTAAACCTATATTTCTTATTGCCTCCTGGGCATCTTTATTTGAATGCCTCATCCTGCAAATCAAGAGCAACATGTCCAAATCTGTACTAATCAAATTTCTTAGCCCCCAACTAGTATTGCCTCTCAATAATTAACATTACATTCCACTTAGTTGCCCAGGCTAGAAACTTGGGCATCATTCATGACTCCTTTTCCCTCATTTTTCACGCCCAGTCAGTCAGCACATTCTCTCAACTCTTTCTCCCAACTGTCGGTATTAGAACTCTTTCATTGCAGATGACTTCAAAACAACTAAAGCAAACTTAAAGAGAATTTATTGATTCATGTTGAGGGAGGAAAAGAAAACCTCTACTAAAGATCAGAGGGAGATTTTGCCTCAGGAATGACTTGACTGGGAGACTAGACCACTGATTCTCTCTCTCTCCTCTTGGCTCCTCCCTGTGTGTTGACCTTATTTTGTTCTTCTGTATGTGAGCTCTGTCCTTGCTTAAGTCACAAGGATTTGGGCCGTTGATGCATTACTTGTTTACTTATGTAAGTTTAAAATTCAGTAAGGCAACTTCAAAACCTGATTGACAGAAATTAAGGAACACCTAAATAATCAGAGGATTATACAGTAATAATGAATAGAAGACAATATGGTAAAGATGTAACTTCTCTGTGTATTATCTATACATTCAGTATAGTCAGAACTCCAGCATGGTTTTCATAGAAGATGGCAAGATGAATACATGTAGAAATATGAATGGGTAAGAATAGACAAAATCACCAAGACTGGTGAGGATGTGAAGTAACTGAAACTCTCATATACTGCTGCTGGTCATGGAAATTGGTGCAGCCATTTTGAAAAATTATTTGATATTACCTAGTTAAGGTGAACACACACGTATGCATACCCTCTGACCCATCCTGCTCCACTCCTACGTATAAGCCCAAAGGAGTATATATATAAAAGAATAAAATATACTTTGACCCACTAGGCTTGTATAGTTCCTTACTAATCATTGTGGAGAATTATATAAGAAAAGATTACTGTCCTTTTCCTCTATCTTATAATCTTAAATCTAGTTAAGGAGAAACAGCATTTAGATTGGATAGCTTGAGTTTTATTTATGTAGCTATACAAGGCTCTCTAGCTCAAATGTTAGTAATAGAAGTGTAAAATTTGTGAAGCTGTTAAATAAGCCATGGGAAAATTTTAAAATTTACATCAATTCTTTCAAGGGTCATTTTATTAGTATAAGAATGTAAAATGTATTTCTTTAAATCACTTTGTTCCTAAGATTACCATGTTTACCATATTGGTTTGCAATAAGAAAGGCTTCCATACACGTAAAGTTCTTTGTTAAGTTAAAAAATAAACATTGATCACCCTGCAGATGAACACCAGCTAACAATAAACAGCTTTACAAGCATGTTTTACCTCACTGTTAAGTTTGAATAGGTGTTTTTACCATGAAGCATCAATTTAGTAAGAATTCAGTTGTGATTTACTGAACATTTAGAAATATACATACTGTTTTAAAAATATCCTCAATTCAGTAATGTCAGTGAAAAAACTGTACTTGTACTTACTTTGTGACTTTCCAGGCTGCTTTCTTCCTTTCTCACTCCAGTTCTTTTAAACTTAATTCTTGGTTTTTTCTACGTTTTTTTGAGGAATGAGCATAAAAGCCTTTTGCATTTTGTTTTTTCATTCTTTAGGAATCAGTAGTGACCATTCTGTGCCTTCCTTCAACCTGAGGATGAATCTCTTTATCAGAAATATTTGTTAAATGAATCATCTATAATAGTAGTACAAAGAAGAATAAAACTGGTTTTTTTTTTAAGACTGAAGTGGCATTGTCTTTAAGACAGAATGTGCATTGTGCTTTCATTTACTAGTGTTAGTGTACCTTTCCCTGAAGGTGCAAGAAATTAAAATAATCTAAAACTGTAATTCATATAAATACCTTCCTAGTGCAGAGTTACTATATATAGATAGCATAAAAGATGCTGTAATAGGATAAAGGCATCAAATTTAAATCATTATACTAAAAATCTACTACTAAAGTTTTCAGGAAAACAGATCTTGGATGAAAAGGCGTTCCCTTAAGATTTTCCCCTGTCTTTGATTATCAGTACCTGATTGGTACTTAATGGAGATAAGGATATACATTCATCTAAAACTTTATTTTTCTTTCCACAGACAACAAATGAAGTTGTTTTGGCTGTGGAATTCCATCCAACAGATGCAAATACCATAATAACATGTGGTAAATCTCATATTTTTTTTTGGACCTGGAGTGGTAATTCACTAGCAAGAAAACAGGGAATTTTTGGGGTAGGTATCAGAATGTTAAAACTTCATTATAAAACTTTAATTTTTTCATTGTTGAGTAAGCATAACGTCATCATGCCAAAGGGAAAACTAAAAATTCTCATTGTTTCATTGTAGAAATACGATAAACCAAAGTTTGTGCAGTGTTTAGCATTCTTGGGGAATGGAGATGTTCTTACTGGAGACTCAGGTGGAGTCATACTTATATGGAGCAAAACTACTGTAGAACCCACACCTGGGAAAGGGCCTAAAGGTACAGTATTCTCATACTAAAATCATTCTTTTTAATTTGCACATACTGCTGTCGCAGGCCCATCTCTTACCCAGACCAGGAGAGAGTGAGCTGCACGGAAACAGTATGAGAGTCATGAACATACATTTTATTTTAAAGGTTCTCCATGACTGTGTTTTTCATTTTTTTTTAATCAAATTACTCACCCAGTTACTTATTAAGCATTTTGACTATATTGCACCTTTCCTTCCAAAAGGTTAATACAAAATCATTAGAAAGAGATATTACAGATCCATGTTAATTTAAGCAGTATAAAGATAAAGAGAGAAATCATCCCAAATCTTCAGTGTTTGGTGAAGCCTTCACAGAAGAAATTGTATTTAAGCTTAGTCATAATGAATGTACAACACATTAGGGAAACAGTGCAAGTAAAGGGAGAAAGATGGATATGAATGTGAGGCATCCAGGATAGCGTGAATAAATTTGTCACGTGTTAACAGAAGCAAGAGATAGCCAGCATGAAGGAAATAGAGTTTTAAAAAATAGTAGTGTTTTGTAACTTCTCTTACCAGTTTAAACTCATATACTAAGCCATTGAAAGTTCAAATAGGATTAAAGATACAGATTTTCTGAGTTATCCACAAGAATCTTTAAAACTGGTTGAGATCACCATGAAAGAGAGAAGAGTTATGAGGCCAAGGAATCTTTGTCCCACAGTTAGATGACCAGAAAAGATCCTGCGAGGATTTACAGAAGTAGGATTTTTTTTTTAAGTTAGCAGATGAAACTCTTTATTTAGTGCCCCTGAACAAGGAAAGAGAGAGTTACCAGGAGTCTCAGTGCTTATAGGGAGATCAAGAAGAATAAGAACCAAGAAAAGACCATTGCAATTGCAATTTCAACATTAAGGCCATGGAACAGCCAGGTATATAGAATAGCCAGTTTCGAAATGGAGAATTTTGAGGATCTCAGTTGAAAATGAAATGGAAAATAAAGTTTTAGAATGAACCAGTAGTCTTTAAGGTTGCCTAAAACCTGGAAGTAAAATGGGAATTGCAGTGAAAAAAAGGAGGTTAAAAATCTTGAGAGAGAGAGAGATGAGAATAGCTGGATTGGGCCTAAGAAGGAAGAAAAAGTGTCCTTGACAGAAAGCAGCAGCCTACATTTCATCCTGAGACTGGAGCTTTAGAAGGCTGAGGTATCTAACATGGCTAAATGGTAGAGGTCATGCAGGGTGATACTGCCCTCAGTAAAAGCAGCTCTCCATTGAAAACTTGAAGTTGTTAACTTTTAATGGATAACATAAGAATAATAATACAGTAAAGCATCACATAATCAGACTCCATTGCTTCAGAATTTGATTTCAGAATTAGGATCCAGCTGGAAACCTTTGACTTGCCTGTGGAAATTGGATTTATTATAATATATGAATACTAAAACCAAAGACCTATAAAATTAGAGGTATCATTTTTTAAACAATTAGTGATTAAAATTATTCTTCTCACCTCACAAAAGGATGTTTCCACGGACCTTTTCTTAACAACTATTGATTACTCTTAGTTATTTGTAATATGGACACGTTGTCCCAATTAGTACATTTATGGCACATTTCCTCCCTTTCTCTTCTCCTTTTCCCAACATAGTAAGACTACAGGATTTACTCTCCACTGGGCTGGGTCTGGAGAGATCTTTGAGAACAGTATGCATGGCCATGTGATAAAATGGTAGAGGGGAGGAAAAAAGAATAAACTCAATCTCCTTTTTTCTTTTTCTCTCTGTAGCCCCTCCTCCCACCCCAATAGTTGGCCTTGGCATTCATTCAGCTTTACCTCAAATATACAGATATAATTTTTTTCTTAAACCCCATTTGCACCCAAATACACTGCTCCACTTTACCCTTTTCTGTGGTAGATGATAAAATTAGAGGAAAACATTGAAAATAGCCTTTTTTCAATCCTGTTTTTCCTTACTGCTTAAGGACAGAAAAACGGGGTGGGGGGGAAGCCCAGAGTACCATGTACTTCCTTCGAAGCAGAAGGTTATGAGAGAAAAATTAGAGACCTTTTCTAAAATCAGTAGGCTGGGAGCAGAGATTCTTCATTAGCAGCAGTAAGTGGTAGCAGTAGGAAGAGAACTGGTCGAACCAGTCTGTCTGTGAGTTGCCCCCAAAAAGGAGAGAGAAAGGTGACGTGGAACCAACCTGGGGTTCCTGAGACACCTCCCCGGGGGACTGGCAGAGCAGCATGCCCCTTGCTTCCCTTATCCGCCTCACATTAAACACTGAAACACTCCTTCCCTTTGTCTTTCTGGAGCCTCTGCAGCAGACCAGGAAATCCCAAGTGACCTACGAATAGCAGAATCCTTGTTTCCCTGCTCTGGAGGAAAGACCCAATTTACATGTCTTGACTTCCCAGATAGACTTTCTCAGGGCCAGCACATCGTCTGGCACTTGGTATTAGCTGTTTGAAAATTATTTGTTAAACGTTTTATTAAGGAAATGACTTTAATCTTACCTTTGGGTGTCACTGTAAGAGTAAAAGTTGAGTAGTACTGATGACAGCATCATTTTCACTAAAATGTGGAATTTGAATATAGAATTGTAGGTGTCTTATGATTGTGAAGATTTTTATACTGTATTTTTTAGGAGATATACTAGACTAGTGTTTTCCATTTCTGTTCACCTGAATTTTTAAGTTTGGTGGTTGAATTGAATTAGATGTGTTCAGAAGTTAAAAAAAAAAAAAAACTTCAAGTTGTGTTACCAGTGACCCCTGATCTCCATTATTGGCCATGCATTCTTAGCCTCTCTCATTCAGTTTAGATTTTAAAAATCACATTTAAAAAGAATTGCAGTGGGTTCAGAATTTTTTTAATGTAGGATAGAGTTTACTTTTAATGCTCAAAATCTGAAATTATCAAGGTTTTTATAATATACATATATACATCATTGATCAACAGATACTTATATCGATTTAATTTGTGTAGTGTACTGTGTCTAGCAGTTAAATAGGAAGGATGGCATCTTTGAGCTCTTTCACATTGTGATCAGAAACAGTTATTCAAAATGGTAAACAAAGGTAGACGTTTTCAAGTTTATTGATACTGGGAATAAAACAATTCTCTCAAAGGAAATTCACATGATTAAAAAAGAAAGAAAGAAAACTAGGAGATAGAAATCCATGTGTATTTTTACCTGAAATGAAAAATTCAGTATGAGTATCTGTATATTTTTTATACCGAAAAATAAGTCATTTGCTTGTTTCTAGTAAGACTTAGAGCATTAATAATTTAGTTTAAAATAATTTTCCAACACAGTTTTCTATTTCTTCTGTACCACGCTTAAAAACTTAACTGCTGAGCCGGGAATAAAACATCATTCAGTTGACTTTTTGTCGAAATAAAACAACAAAAACCTAAAAGTTACGTTGGAGTTGCTGAATACTCCAGGCTGTTAAGGTGCAAGTTCAGCATTTATTGTGCACCTGTTCCAGATTGTTTATATTTGTGACATTCTATTCCACTTCACGGCCCTTTTCTCATACAAAGATACTAAGAATTGAAGGCATTTATTAATTAACCCAAAGTCTTCAGAGCTAGCAATTGAAGGGGGTTCTCTGATTTTAGTTTGATGACCTTCCAAGTATTTCACTGTCATCTTTAGTGCGAGCAAGTAACCATATGTGCAGTTTGAGGCATCATCATGTCAGATTCCTTCCAGGACTGACACATGACCTGAGCACTGGGGCCAGCATAAAGTACATCACCAGTTTATGATAAAAGAAGATAACGCGGGAACAGCCAGATGGGAAAGATGCGCAGGGCAAGGCATGGAAAGGGGTGCAGAGGTGCCATGCCCTCTCCAGGCACACCACTCTCCCCAAACCTCTGAGTGTTCACTGACCCAGAAGCTCTGAGTTGAAGATCCTTAAGGGAAAAGAAAGAAGAATGGTATTATCAGCTGTCTTCCCTGCTTACCTCTCTTGTCTTTTACCTTAACATTTTTTCAGTGTAAGAAATGCCAGGAATAGCATTGTATATCAAAACAGTGACTTAAATTGTTGACATGTTGTCCTACCACTGAGCAGAGTTTGGGTATATGTGTACCCTTCACTAGCTTTAGTCTGTGGGGTGAGGCAGGCAGAGAGGTTCGGAGGTTGTTTTTATTTTGGTTTTTTGTCTGAAAAACTTGTGGCTTAACCTTTGTGCAAAGAAAATCTGAATATGCACAAAAAGAAATTCTAATCTTGTAAACTACCGAGCACTTGAAATCTGCTACATGACTGACCCTATTACGGGCAAACTTGCTGAGAATGTAGGTTTTCCCTTTATATTTGGTGTTTCCAGTTATGTAAGTATAGCTGGAAAGGGTTTGGGCCCAGATCAGAACACAAGCTCTTAGTTTCTATTTTTAAATTCTTGCCAGAAATTTTAGTAAATTGATCTAGTTTGCGTATTCCCTAAAATGATATTTCTGTACTGATGGCAGTCTTATGAACCAAAATTTGAGTATACTGTGATATCACGAATTGATAAAGGGACATTTTTGGATGGCAGAAGTATAATTTCATAGCTAATCCTTTTATTCTAGTAAATAACAGACAAACCAAAACTGTTTTATGCCTCATAAGCTCTGCATATTTTCTCCTTGCTTCCAAACCATTTTCCTTACCTTAAACGTAAATTAATAGAAATCTTCAAAGTTATTATTATTTTCTACTTCTTTTTTCCAGTTTTACAACATTTATAATGTATAATATTGTAGTTTAAGGTATATAACATAATGACTTGATAACTGTATATATTGTAAAATGATTACTGAAATAAGTTTAGTTAACATCACCTCACAGTTATATTTTTTTCTTGTGATAAGAACTTTTGAGATCTGCTGCCTTGGCAACTTTCAAATACACGCAGTACAGTATTGTTAACTATAGTCATGATGCTATCTATGCGTTGAATCTCTATAACTTATAACTGGAAGTTTGTACCTTTTGACCACCTTCTCCTGCCCCACCTCTGGCAACCACTGGTCTGTTCTGCTTCTGTGAGTTCATTTCTCTTAGATTCCACATGTGAGTGAGATCATATAAAATTTATCTTTCTCTGACTTACTGCATTTAGCATAGTGTCCTCAAGGTCCATCCATGTGGCTATGGCTGGATTTCCTTTTACATTCCTCTGTATGTGTGTGTGTGTATGAACATGCCACATTTTCTTTATCCGTTCATCTTTCGATCAACACTTAGGTTGTTTCAGTATTTTTCTTACATGGATACAAGGTATTTGTTATTTCCGACATACATGAAATAGTTCAAAATTTTTCTTATGTGAATAATTCGTAATTTTTAAGTGGGAGAGGGGGAAGTTGAGAGTATCTACACTACCATAAAATGTTCATTATTCTTAAATCTTTGCCAAGTTCCTTTAAGGAACTAAGAAACACCAGCATTTTGCCTGCTCTCCAAATAGTCAACATGGGCCCGTTTGCCCTTTGCTGAGAATGTAACATAAATTTCAAAGTCTCCCTGATATTTGATTCTGTAGTTAAACAGGCAAAGGAAGCCCTCCAAATGATCTTTTTTTGGCAGTCAAGGTAAACTTGCTTTTTATGGAAACTTTGTTTCTGTTAGAGTAGAGAAGAAAGGGGGAATTTGCAATTAAGCTTGGATACATTTGGCCATGATTATGCCTGGAGGTATAATAGGTTTTTAAATTCAAGGATAATTATTTTTCTTGGCAGGTATTTCAAACATTTGGCTTAAACTAGAATGTCAGAAATACAGGCTCATGAGAAGGAATCTTGGACTGTAAATTTGTTTTATAGGTAAATACTATCTAAAGGAACCTGTGGTAATTTAAATTTAAAGCACAGACTTTTTTTTTAGCTTTAATATAGGTCCTCCTCAGGAAATAACTATCCTGGAATATGAAGTGGAAAGTGGGAATCTCAGTGTTGACTACTTATATTGAGTATTTTTATTCCTGATGAAGCATTTGTCCTTCTGTTTTATTTTCTGTTTCCTAAGATTCCATCTTTCTAGGAAGATCTTAAGTGTTTAACAAGATTTTTGGCATGTTTAGAAGTATGGAAGGCTGAATTAAAAATAAAAGACTGTATTTCATTTTCTTACATTTTGATGGAGAGCTGTGAAATGCCACACCTCTGCTTTTTTTGTAATTTTTTACATGGTACCATGGTACTTTCAGACTACTCCTATTAATTTGACCGTGCATGAGAAAATAAGCCCTTTGCTCTCCCTTTTTTTCCACTTTTAAATGCCCAAATAAAGCTAGCAATACTCCCAGAAAATTCACATCTCTCAGATGTTCTTTCTCTCTTGGTCACATCAGATCCATGATAGATAATTGGCTGGCTGTCCTACTGGTCACAGTCATGTTGTTCAATGTTTAAAGTATTTTTAGGTGATGAATGTTGATGTGAGCCGAGGCAGTTGACCTGAATAGCAAGTTTGTTAGAGTTCTGCTCCCAGCTCTGCTGAATAAGGCAAGCTCTACTCCAAATTAGGCAAACCCTTTCCTTTCTCACTGCCAAATATACCCATCTATTAAGTATTTGTACCCCTAGCAGCCTCACACTGAGTAATTTTGAGAGTCAGCTGTAGTATAAATTTTTTAGGATACCAAAGCCCTACAAATTTTTTTTTAATTTTAACAATTTAATGGCAGCTCAAATAGATGAGTAAAAATGAACAATTTCAGTAACAGCTTTATTGAGATATACTTCACATACCATAAAATTCACTCTTCTAAAAATGTACAGTTCAGTGATTTTTAATTTAGTCAGCATTGTGCAGCCATCACCACTTTCTAACTTGAGAACATTTTTATCACCCCAAAAAAGAAACACTATCCATTAGCAGTCACTTCCCATTCCTCCCTTCCCTCAGTGCCTAGCACCCACTTGTCTACTTTTGGTCTCTATGAATTTGCCTGTGTTGGACAGTTTATAAAAATGGAATCATGCAATATGTGATCTTTTGTAATTGGCTTATTTCACTTAAACCTTAATTTTTCCAAAATTCATCCATGTTACAGCATGTATTAGTACCTGATTCCTTTTTGTGGCTGAATAATATTCCATGATCTGAACATACCACATTTTATTTATCCATTTATCAGTTAATGAGCAGTTTTAGAATATGAAGAATTTTTTCCAGTCTTTTTGAGATATAATTGACATATAACATTGTATAAGCTTAAGGTATACAACGTACTGTTTTGTCTGTATTGCAGAGTGATTGCCACAGTGAGTTTAGTTAACGTCATCACTTCGCATAGTTAGATTTTTTTCTTGTGGTAAGAACTTTTAAGATGTACTATCTTAGCAACTTTCAAATATACAAGAAAGCTGGGATGTCATTCAGCTTTACATTGGTGTAGCTGAATCAGTTTTTAAAATACTTTGGTTGGTCAAAAGTCACTTCTCCAAGCCGCCAGTGCCTCCCCTGCCTGTACCTTCCCCGGTGCCCTATATCTCAGCAAATAAAAGGGGTTATCCTTGGCAAAGCAGAAGGCCTCCAGGTCAACAGTGGTTAAATGTTAAATATTAATGGTTCTTCCCAGCAGGAAATGAAGGCTTTTTTGAGTAAAGAGACATGAGTCCTAGTGACAGCTTTGTCACTAGCTAACTATGTGGTGTTGGTTAAGCCAAATCTACATCTATGTTTCCTTATTTCTAAAATTAGAAGAGTAATCCCCTCCCTAACCACTGTATGAGATGATTATAAGAGATAGTTAAGTTCTGAGGCTAGTGTAGCCTCTGTTGTCTGTGAAATTATCATTATATTAGCTTACCTTTTTGTAAAAATTATTTTGAAATATTTTCTAAGTAGCTAAATATTGACAGGAATGCAAAAGGTTGTATTAAGCTTGACTACCTGCCTTGCAGAAGATTGCTGAAAACAGTTTTTTGATTGTTGAGTTATAGAAACTTTTGCTTATTCACTCTGTAGTTCTGCTAAAGTTTTCTTCTAGAAAGACACTAAAATCTGATGGAAAATATTATCACTAGTGTTTTTATTTTTCCCTCATCATATTAGGTGTTTATCAGATCAGTAAACAAATCAAAGCTCATGATGGCAGTGTGTTTACACTTTGTCAGATGAGAAATGGGATGTTATTAACTGGAGGTGGAAAAGACAGAAAAATAATTCTGTGGGATCACGATCTGAATCCTGAAAGAGAAATAGAGGTAAGGATGAAAATGGAACATAAAATTTTTTCGATGTTAAACCCTCTAAACTCATGTATTTTATCCCACATTAAGATAACTTACGCTTTTCTGGGAAATTTGATGTACATTCTTGTCATTTTATTCCCTTGAAATAAACAAGAGAAAAAGGATCATTCACTAAACAAAATAACTTGAAGGAATAAGAAAAATGTGCAGAATAATTAAGTGGCTTGTTACTTATTTCTCAGGTTATTTTTTAGTGATCCAAAAATATAACCATACAAACTTAAAATTTAACATCCATCGAATAGTGTTTCCTGCTTCAGGGTATACAAGATGACTAGTTTAATTTTATTTAAAACTTGAAAAAATACCTTCTAAACATTGGGCTTAATGATAATGCCAATTGTGTATGTCTGCTTCATGCCATGAACCAAGCATATCCATAAAACCTGACAGGTGTTATGTGCTCAGTAAAAGTTTGCTAATTGAATTGAGATCTCAGGAGATGATTTAGCTAAGAAGTGTTTTAGATCAATGATTGTCAGAGCAAAGGCAAATCTCACAGTTCAATATTGCTTCCATATTTTCATGACTTAAATGTTGAATTTATGCTCAGTCTTGTCTACACATAACGTGCTTTGCAGACAGAATCTCCTCTAAAAAAAACAGCATTCTGATAGTACTGCTTTTAGGCTTCATTTCCAAGAAAATACATCCCTGTATTATAGAGAAAGAAATTTGTCTCAGGCCAAATGACTTAACCCAAAATAATATAACCAGTAAGTAATAAAACGAGACCACAGTTTTCATGTGATCTACTAGAACTTACTCTTTTATCTCCTACTCCTAATCCTTAACTCTTGAAATTATATAAAAGATGAATTAAAAATTGAAGCAAAGAATGTTGGTAATGCATTATAACTTCTGTGTAATAAAATGTAATTGAACACATCATTTATTAGCATAAGATTTTACCTTATTATTTTCAAATTTGGAGTTCTGTCATTTATTACCCCGTAATTGATTCCAGCTATAACAGCAGTCTTCAAGTGATAATTAATGCAGGTGAGTATGTGTATGGTGACTTTACAAATTTTTTTTTTTTTTTTAGGTTCCTGATCAGTATGGAACAATCAGAGCTGTAGCAGAAGGAAAGGCAGATCAATTTTTGGTAGGCACATCACGGAACTTTATTTTACGGGGAACGTTTAATGACGGCTTCCAAATAGAAGTACAGGTAAGCTGTATGATTTTAACCATTGCCTGAATATTTCTGATGATACCCTTTGTTTCTTATTACACTGGATGTATTTCATTTTCAGGGTCATACAGATGAGCTTTGGGGTCTTGCCACACATCCCTTCAAAGATTTGCTCTTGACATGTGCTCAGGACAGACAGGTGTGCATGTGGAACTCAGTGGAACACAGGCTGGAATGGACCAGGCTCGTAGATGTGAGTAAAGCAAAAATATGATAATAATCTCCCCACAGAAACTCCCTAAACTGGCAGCTGATAGCAGCAAAGCAAAAAGGACTCAGCATTGATTAAAACCAGAAGTATTTACATAACTCAGCAAAGGGGAAGAGGTAAGGGGAGAGTGTTTATGCACAAAGTACAGCATGAACCCACTCCAAAAAAGCAAATTAACAGGACAGAGCTCAATTTTTCTAGTAAAAATCAAAAATATTTCACATCTTTATAGAGCATTAATTGTTCTGGGAAAGTTTAGGCCTCTGGTGGTGGTGCAGTTGAGTTCAGTAAGGACTGCTCACTAACAGACTCTACTGTCTTCTTTTTGGGTTGGTCTCTTACTGTACATTCTCCCTACCCCACCCAGATAGCCACCTTTTCTAGCCTAAAAGGTGTAGACACGTTCTTTGCAGACTCTAAAGAACTGTACAGGTGTTTGTCAGTAGCCTTACCGTTGTTCGGTGCCTAGCCTCAAGCTGGTTGTCCTTTCCCCCACTGCCCTGCCAGCATGTCCCCTCCTGCTCTGAAATTCTTTTTCCTGTCATGTCCATGTGGTATTTCCCATTGGCTACGATAGAGTTGATTGGGATTCCATGTTTATGAGAAACAAGTTATTTTCAAATATGTTTTGCCACTATTCCCATAGATCTAGGGAGACTTTCTCATGTACTCCCCAACAGCTGTCTGTCTTTCTTCTAGGAACCAGGACACTGTGCAGATTTTCATCCAAGTGGCACAGTGGTGGCCATAGGAACGCACTCAGGCAGGTAGGGTCTTTAAGGGAAATGTGAGCTGAGTGATCAAAGTGGTGGGATGTGTAACCGTTATTCAGGAATGTTCACAATCTGATCTGGAGAATTAATCTTCTAAATGGCACAGTTATATACTTGTTGCTCTTTCTGTTGTATATACTCAATCAGTCATTCAGTTATTATTCATTAAGCACCTACTATTTGTTAGACACTATTGTGGGCATTCAGGCTACATCAGAGTGCAAAGCAGAAACTCCACTATATATAAGAAGGAGTTAAACACCACATGGAGTAGTAAGGGCTAGAAGGATGTGAATCGTTAAGACTCACCCCTTCACCGGATGAATGTACAATATAGGCATACATGTACATACAGAGCCCCAGTTTTTAAGGAAAACCTGATCTGATCCAACTAACTGAAATTACTTTCTAACATTGAGTGTAACTGTTTATATTAAAGCTTCATCATGAACAGGCTTAAAATGAGAAGTCACTTAATTTAAGTGACTTAAGCTAAAAGTTAAGCCGGCGTCCTCTTGGAGATGAGTAGAAAATACCTTAGGAATGAGTGATGCGGTAACTAAATAAGAACTGCTGTCAGTTCTTTCTGGCATGGAGTTGGGGGTTAATTAGAATCTAGGGGAGATGTAGTTATCAGCGTTCATTTTATACATAACTCCTAAATTTGGTTTCATACCTAATTAGATTCTGTTGATTCTTAAGAAAACGTTCTCCTTTATTATTTTTTACACGGGTCTGTGAGTGCCTACCTGTACTGCCTAAAACTGAAAATTCCTCAGTGTAGCCATTCAGATTATCACTGACCTTAAGCTTGAAAAAAGTCACACTCGGAGCAAGGAATTTTGTTTTTAGTATAATGAAACGCGTATCCAAATTGTGCATGATCCAGAAAAGGTGACTAGCAGAAATGTGTAAAGATGCCCTCACATCGAGATCTGGAAATCTTCTATTTCTTATAATCAAGAAGTAAGCACAAGTGTGAATATATTATCACAGTGATAAATAAAATTATCATTTTAAAAGAATGTATTACTGATATAACTTCTAAGGTGAAAAAATTCATGGCCCTAAGTGTACCTAGTACTTCCTTAACATTGCTAATCCTCATATAGTAAGGATTCTTTTTTAACAGTTTTATTGAGATACCATTCATATACCATAAAATTCACCCATTTCTACAGTTCAGTAGTTTTTAGGAAGTTCACAGGGTTGTAACAACCTTCGTCACAAGCTAATTTCAGAACATTTTCATTAACCCAGAAAGAAACTCTGAGCCAGTGAGCAGTCTCTCCTCATTACCTCCCCCCACTTCCAGGCGTGAGCAGCTGATCTACTTTCTGTTACTATAGGTTTGCATATCCTGGACATTTCATATAAACAGAATCATACAATATGTGGTCATTGTGATTAATTTCTTCTACTCAACATACTGTTTTGAAGGTTCATCCATGTTGTATAGCATGTATAAGTATTTCATTCCCTTTTGTCACCAAATACTCTGCTGTATGGATACGCCTCTTTATCAGTTGAGTTATTTCCACTTCTTGACTCCTGTGAATAATGCAGTCATACACAAGTTTTTGTGTGGACATATATTTTCAACTCTCTTGGCTTTATACCAAGGGATAGAGTTGCTGATAACTCTGTGTAACATTTTGAGGAGCTACCAAATTGTTTTCCACAACAGCTACGTCATTTTATAATTCTACCAGTAAAGTATGAGGGTTCCAGTTTCTCCACACCCTCGCCAACACTTGTTATTGCCTGTGTTTTGATTATAGCCATCCTAGTGGGTGTGAAATGCTTATTCATTGTGGGTTTTTTGTTGTTGTTGTTGTTTCCAGGGGATGGATAATTTGATTGATTGATTTACTCATTCATTCATTTATTTAAAGTGGCGGTACCAGGGATTGAACCCAGGACCTAGTCCATGCTAAGCAGGAGCTCTACTACTGAGCTATACCCTCTCCCCTCATTGTGGTTTTGATTTGCATTTCTCTGATGGCTAATGATGTTGAATATCTTTTTCACCTGCTTATTGGCCACTTGTATAGCCTCTTTAGAGAAATATCTATTCATATGCTGTGCCCATCTTTAAATTGGTTTGTCTTTTTATTGTTGAGTTGTAAGAGGTCTTTATATAGTCTGGATATAGTACCTTATCAGTTTAGGGGTTTTTTTGTTTTTTGAGGAGGGGGTTGGAGGTAATTAGGTTTATTTATTTTTAGAGGAGGTACCGGGGATTGAACCCAGGGCCTTGTGTATGCTAAGCATGCACTCCACCATTTGAACTATACCTGCCCCCTCAGTACCTTATCAGATATGTGATTTACAAATATTTTCTCATTCTAAGGGTTGTCTTTTCACTTTCTTGATGGTAACATTTGTTGCACAAAAGTTTTAAATTTTACATAGTCCCATTTATCTATTCTTCCTCTTGTCTTTGGTCATAAGGATTTACTACTATGTTTTCTTCAAAGAGTTTTATAGTTTTAGCTCTTACTTTTAGATCTGTGATTCATCTTGAGTTAACCTTTGTGTATGACGTGAGGTAGATACCCAGCTTCATTCTTTTGCATGTGGATATCCAATTGTTACAGCACCATTTACTGACAAGACTATTCTTTCCCCAGTGAGTGGTATTGACACCCTTGTCAAAAATCAATTGACCATTCAATCTGGATTCCCAGTTATATTACATTGATCTGTGTGTCCATCTTATGCCAATACTGCAGTCTTGATTATTATAGCTTCACAATGTTTTGAAATCTGGAAATGTGGGTACTCCAACTTTGTTCTTTTCCAAGATGGTTTTTGCTATTAAGGATCCCTTGAATTTCCACATAAATTTTAAAACCAGTTTGTCAGTTTCTTCAAAGACGCTAGCTGGCATTTCGATAGGGATTTTTTTTTTCTTTATAGATCAACTTGGGGACTGTCACTATGTTGACAATATTAAGTCTTCCAGTTTATGGACTGGAGGGATTTTTCTATTTATTTAGATCTTCAGTTTTTTTCAAAGATGTTTTTAGTTTTTAGGGTACAGATTTGCACATTTGTTAAATGATGTCTAAGTATTTCATTCTCTTGATGCCATTTTATATGGAATTGTTTTCTCACTCATTTTCAGAGTATTCATTGCTGATAATATGTAAATACAACTGCTTTTTGTGTATTGATCTTATATGTATCCTGTACCTCTGCTGAACTCGTTTCTTAGTTTTAATAGTTTGTTTTAGTGGATTCCTCAGGATTTTATACATATAAGATCATGTGATCTGCAAATAATAGTTTTCTTCCTTTCCGAGCTGAATTGTTTTTCTTTTTCTTGCCTAACTGTCCTGACCAGAACCTCCAGTACAGTATTGAATAGAAGTGGCAAGAGTGGTCATCCTGATCTTGTTCTCTAGTTCTGAGAGAAGGCATTCAGCCTTTCACCATGAAGTATCATGTTAATGTGGGTTTTTCATAGATGCTCTTTATTCTGAAGAATTTTATTTAATCATGAAAAAATGTTGGATTTTTGTCAAATGCCTTTTCTGGTCTATTGAGATAACATCGTTTTTGTCCTTTATTAAGATGGAGTATTACATAAATTCATTTTCAAATGTTAACCTTGTGTTCCTGACATAAATCCTACTTGGTCATGGCATATAATTCTTTTTATATGTTACTGGATTCAGTTTGTTAGTATTTTGTTCAATATTTCTTTCATCTATATTGATAAGGGGTATTTGTCCATAGTTTTCTTGTGATGTCTTTGTCTGGTTTTGGTATTGGCAATATTGGCACTTCATTAAGGCTTTAAATAAGGCTGATATCCTCTAAACCAAAATGTAGACTTAAAGCATATAAATAGATAAAAATTAGTATATACTAGTAATTGTTAGTCATTAGTTATCAAAATTTTAGATTTATTGAACCAATGACTCATAAACTACTTAATCAATAAATCACACGTAGGCATACCACATATTTTCAAATATAATGTTCTGTCACTTTTTTAAATTTGTGTATCTTGGTGGAATTTAAAGTTCTTCATAAAGCTCACAGTATATGTGAGCCTGAACCATTATGAACATGAAAGTTTATAATCTCTGAATTATTGGTAAGATAAATATTGCTTGATTTTCCCAAGACCCCAGTTAATCATTTCTTCCCTTCCTGTTTTTTGAAACTAGTTTCTCAAAAGGCACTTAATCTTTATACCACTTACAGGCCTTAGAGAAATGACAACTATATTTGCCATCCCATCAGGATGATAGGTGTGTATCAGCTCAGACAAAATCCCCAAGAAGTTTGCACAGAACTTTAATCTGTTCTTGGTTGGATCCAGTTCTATTTCCAAACCAACATATAGTATTAGAGGCAGGAGTTTTTGCCGTAGTCATTATATAGGCTGATAAATGGAAGTGAGACACCCAGAGTTCGAGAAATCAGTAGACTTGAAGTGATGGTAGGGAGAATAAAAAGCAAAGTTGGAAATTGTTTCAAAGAAAGAAATCCGTGGAATTGAGGCAGTATATAGAACATACTGTGTATAATAACCATATAGGATGGAAAGGGGAGTGGGCAGACTGAGAGAGGTGACTTCAAAGAAGACCCCAAGGTTTTGGTCTGTAGTGATAGTGACAGCTTTGACGAGGAAGCAGACTGGGAAAATGAGCCTGGTGAGTGGGTAGGTATAGAATTTCATTTAGTTTTTGACATGGAATCACAGAACCTTAGACCTAGAGAGACTGGGGATCCAGCTCAACTCATCTTTTTTTATTTTTTTATATAGTTTTTAAAGGTTACTTTGATTTGACGGTAACCTTGGCAAACCAGCAATGTAGCTAAAGTACTGTTACCAAATTCTAACCAGATACTGTTGACTAGGAAGGTTCTGAGCATAAGAAATGTTCCTTCTGCTCAAAAGGGAAATGTCAAAGGCATATTAGCACTAGCTGACACTATGACATAATTAAAAGAGAAAACTTCTAATTAGAAAAGAATAGCTTTTTCCCTCTGTAATTTGGTGTTACTGAACTTGGCCTGTGGGTACTCCTGAGCTCACTTTTCCCCAGGGTGCACGGTGTCTTTGAACTCCATCAGCATGAATCTCCCTGAGTTCTGCCTTGTCGTAGCTCCAGTTCTGAGTTGCTCCGAGCTCCGGCAGGCTGCGGAGCACTACGTGCAGGGAGTGGCACAAAGAAATATGAGACATGGCCCCTACCCAAGCAGCTTATAGCCTAATAAGATACTACACAGAAAGACAGCGAGCATGGCATATTTGTAGTTTAGTATTACTTGAATAAACAGGCACTAATGCTTGAAGATGAACAGAGAAATGACTGAGAGCCTTAGTGGTCAGAGAACACTTCCCAGAGGAGGTGGGATGGGTCCTGGCTTGAAGGAGCGCTGAAATCTTGAAGAAGCAGTGAAGAGTTAGGAGCTCATATCAAGCAGGAGGAATGGATTGAGCAAATTTAGGAAACTATGAACTAACTGGACTAGAACTTTCCTAAAAGCTTCTTGATACCTAAACAGTGGAATCCAAACTTGTTAGCCTGGCCTTTAAAGCCCATTTAAAAATCTCTCCCTCACCACTCCTCGCAGAATGGTCAACTTATTGTCCTTTACACTTCAGCCCTCTTTGTGTTTTCTTACCTACCCCTTTCCATCTGTTTATGCCCCACCTGTCCTCACCACATTTGATGTGCTGAGGTCCTAGACGCCTCCATCCTTAGTGATTACTCCCTGCTCTTAAACTTCATCATCCTTAGTACTTGTGAAATTCGTTTTACTTTGAACTATTTACTGTATGAACTCACTGTCTCCCCAGTTGGATTATAAACTCCTATTCTGCCTCCTTTGCTGACTCCTTTCTTCTCTGCATCTCTAAATGTTAGTGTATCTCAGAGATAGAGAGCGAGCACTTCCCATGGGATCACACCTTTCCTTGGTGTGACGTAGTGAAAAGCACAAGGGGCAGACACTCTCTCCTGGCTCTGCCACTAACTAGTTGGTTGGTGGCTTGTCAAGTGCTTTGACATCATAGGATTTCAGTGCTCTTACTTACAAAGTAAGAGGGTTGAATTGGGCTTTTCTTCCCTGTGGTTTTCTGATTATAAAAGCCACATCCCTGTTCTTGTTAAGTGGAAGCTTCATAACGAAGCAGGTGGGAAAAGTTACAAACCTGCCACCCAGAGGACATACTTTATATTATGATGAATATTTTTAAACTCATATTTTAAACAGTTATATGTTCATTCAGGGACTTTAAAATATGGTATTTCCCAGCTGTAAAATCTTATGATTCTTTTTTGCCACTAAACAAATCAATATAGTGTCTTTTTAAAAAGTCATCATCAAGTTAATGATGGTGCTGTGTGTAGGTACTTGACTCACAAGTCATAACAGTTTACATATGTGGCCAAAGATTTCCTGTCTCTGAGAAGGACCCATTAGGTCCTTGAGATCATATAGAGTCCCATAATGATTCCAAATTATCTTAAAGCAAAACCTTAGCTCCAATGTATATACTCTAGACTACAATGAAAATACAGTTCAGCACAGTGAAAACTTAAATATTATTTCTAGAAATTCCCTTTGCTAAAATAAAGGATTTGTTGTCATCCTCTGCATCCCTTTGTTAGGGATAGAGGTCCTGAGCCTGAAAGCCTTTTCTAAAGGTAGAACATAACTCATGCAATGAAAAGGGTGGGAGCTTTAAAATAATTGCTGGGGATCCATGTGGAAGTTGTATACTTTCAATAGCAAAGTTATTTAATTATTACTGAAAATTACTTGCCAAAAGTGGAAGAATTAATCTCTGATATGTAATTAAAGAAACAGAAAAAGTAAGCAGGTTTTTTTTCTTTTTTGAGAGCTACCATCTCTAACCAGTAAATGACTCAGAGTTTTAGGTTTCTACATATTATACCAACAGACATTCTGGAGTTTTTTTAGTTACTTTTTAAGAGAGTTTCCAAAGAGACAAAATTGTTTGCAGTTTTCCTAGGAAAATTAAACTGACTTGGAAGCAGTCTTAAGACAGTATCAGTTGGAACTTCTCCAAAATAAAAATTGATCATTTTAAATGCCTAAGAAAGTATAGCAAAGTTTTCATAAACGCAATAAGAACCTGAAACCTGCTACCTGCAGAGTGGTGCCATGTCTCACTGTTCTTTAGGTATGTCTGTGCAGTCTGAGTTTGGGATATTTTGTTCCCTGTTTTGAAAAGGCAGTTCACTTGGCATCAGCTTTGGCATTTCTTGACTCAGAGGAGTTTCACGGTGGCAGCCATAAAAACTGATTAATGAATTACATTCTCAGACAAAACCCATAATCTGTGGGCACTGTCCAGCTGCGATAAAGTGTGTTTCTTATTCACCTTTGGAAATGGAAATGATCAAACATTCACCACAGGGCTTCAAAATGCCAGTTTCCTGCTGATTGGCTTTCGTTTATATAATCTCAAGTATTTACAAATAGAAGCTATTTTTCTTCCCTGGGTAAGAGACAGTATTTATGAACTTGATTAGCTACCTAGAAGTTTCAGTCCACCGCTCACAAGTTACTAATTCATTCATGAACATGTTTAATTAGAGAGGGATTTCAGTGATAGGCAAAAAGTTGGGATCTTTTGGTCTTTTATCTTCTACCTTGAATACGTTGAGGCATGTTAAGCAACATCACCAAATATTCTTTTTTTTTTTTAATTCTTTTAGGGCCTTTTCTCTCTCCTAAATAAAATTTTTTTAAATTTAGTGGTCTCTTTCCAGGTGTTAGTTACAGTGCTTCAAAATTAAAAGGAACTGTTGTTATGACTTGTTTTATTGGTGGAATTTTTCCCATCTGAATAAATAGAAATAAAACTTGCTGCTCTTGTTGTTCCATGCAGTACATGAGAGTAAGATAGTGATTTTATTTTTCTAATCTTGTCCCATTTTTTCCACCCCTACCATTTCTTCCTACACTCTGCATTACTATTAAATAATTCTTGCTAAAACTTAGTCATGTTCCAGACTTACGTTGTGTGTGTTCATTTATACATTCTACAAATACTTATTTAGTGCCTGATCTGCTCTGAACTCCTGCAGCCAGCTGTGCATGCTGTCTGTAACCTGCCCTCCTCTTCCTTATCTGTCCCTTAGCTGTCCTTCCTTAGTTCCCAGTCTTTGCTTTGTACCCAGTTATCTCACCACGCTCTTCTGAAGCACCATCCCTTCCTTCAAGTGCTTTTAGAAGAGGGTCTGATAAGAGTCACTTATTATGTTGTTGGATTTCAGTCATTGTTTTAACCTCTCAAGAGGCTTTCACATTTTGACTTTTCCTATAAATGTGAATGAAAAACTGTCTCTCAAAGAACTTAGAGTTTGCATGTGCAGGTATTGGGGGCATAGGAGAGGCAGAGTGTCCCCTGCTGGTTCCTTTGAAATCACACCAAATGAATGACCCTCTGCCTTTCCCTCCCACCTTCATACTGTCCTGCTCCTTCCCAACCTCCATAGCTGCAGCTGTCACTCCTCCTGCCCAAACTGCCTGTATGTCTTTCCCTCATCATTCAGCTCAGCTATATTCTACATCCTTGCGAAAAGTTTTTCTATGTCTGCTATTACTCATTTTCCTTCTATGAGTTCCTCTATTGTCCATAGTCACCATCAGTGGAGTTGGCACTTAATTGTTCTTTGTTTCAATTGGTTCGTTTACTTTTCCCTGGCTCTAGTGTAATCTTCAAGAACACTGATCATCTTGTCATTTTCTGTTTGAACCATGCCTCGCAAAGAGACACTGTTGGCATTCAGTGAATACCTAAATAGAAATGAGAATATGCTGAGGCCCATATAAGTATATTTATAATGTATCTAGCAACACTTTGCAAGATGAATTCAACATTAGAAGAGGGAAAAATGTTCTGCTTAATAAATTTCTTTTTAAAAAGGTAGAAAAAGTCAGCAACCATTTTTTTCTATAAATGCTAATAGCTAAAGAAAATTTTGATTTTACTTCTTAACAGGTGGTTTGTTCTGGACGCAGAAACCAGAGATCTAGTTTCTATCCACACAGATGGGAATGAACAGCTCTCTGTGATGCGCTACTCAGTAGGTAGGCAGATTTACCCCATCCTGGCATTCACAGCATTTCTCTGTAATTACATATTTTCACTTCCAGTAAAGCTGACTACTTTTTCCTCTACTCTCTAGAGTTGTTAAGTATTGAATGTGTCCCCCAACATCAGATTAAATTCTGCTGCAGGAAACTGCAAAAGATCTGCCAAAGTTAAACAGCATTCTGAATCATCAAGCAAACATAAATTTAGAGCAAACTGTTACAACTGCATTTGCAATTGAAAGCAGAATACAGTGCAATCAACTACCACTTTTTTGGAACTACACATACTTAGATTTTTGAATAGGTATTAGGCTGAATGTTAATCTATTTAGTAACCTCTTCTTTGTATATAACAGAATGTAAAAGAAATTATACTATTCAAAATGTACACATTTTATAGGCCTTCAAGTTCTTTAAAATCTAGCTTGATTTTTACTGTTACTTAGTAACGGTTTGTTAATTAGATAAAATACTTAGCAACTCATAAGGATTTGGTCAGTTCATTTAGCCGTTTTGCATAATTCTTCTTGTACTTTATTCAAAATGTTAATTTTCTTTGATATTCTAATTCCTTTTTCCCATTATTAATATGGATTTGATTCACATCATTCTTCCCTGAAATTAGTCCAAATGATGTTTTCTTATATTTGAAAATACATTCCAATAGTTGTTGGATCAGCATGGAGTCCAAATGACCTTTTTGATCACTTCTAAATTGCTTCAAAGGAAGCCCAGAATACTATTCTGTGTGTTGAACAAGGAAGGAAAAGTATTTGCTTCCAGCTATAAGCCTGGCAACAGTTACCCTGAAGCAGGAAAGGTTTTCTGTTTTGGGTTTGGTTTTTTTTAGTGCTATAACAGCAAATAATTACTGCAGATGTAGCAATTAAAACTCAAAGATGGACTTTATTGACCATCTGTTATATGGTAAGTATAATGGAGTAGATCGTAAAAGAGAACATGGTCCCTTCCCATGAGAGCCTACCCTGTAGTTGCAGAGATCCTATGTGCTTGGCTGAAACAAGCAATTGTATACTCTGCCTGCCATGTGAATATTGTATACTTAGACCCATAAAAGCAGGTTAACCTCCCTGGGGCCAGTTTGTAGCTAACTAGAAAGGAGATGAGGCTAAGGGAAGAGTCCAAGGCCTGTGAGCATTTCCAAGAAGAGAGTTTTGTACTGGACCAGATGACCACTTGGTTTTGCTTAGTAATGGAAGGATTCATTCATTAAACACCAAATAATAGTTAAGTTGATGAGATTTAACAACATTTGTAAAATGTCATTTGGTATAGGTCCAGTGAAGTGACAGTAAATAAACCTATCAATGTATTTGCTTAACCAACATTTTTTCCTGTTTGATTTTAGATGGCACCTTCCTGGCTGTAGGATCTCATGACAACTTTATTTACCTCTATGTAGTCTCAGAAAATGGAAGAAAATATAGCAGACATGGAAAGTGCACTGTAAGTAGTGAAGTGAAAGAAATTAAGCTGTAAAGTGGTTGGAGATCTTTACTTCTATTAGAAAGAGAGTTAAATGTTTACATTGATGTATCTGCTTTAAACTTTAAACCTGAATGTCAATCTTTGAAAACTGAGATTCCCTGACAGCAGAGTATAGCTGTTCCATGTGTGCTCTAGAAAGATTTCTCCTTTCATGGGAGTTTAATATTTCTCTCTCTGACTAGTTTTAAGGCAGTTTCTTAAATCAAAGCTATTTCCTTAGGAAATCTTTGGAAAATAACACTTTTTTTAAATGGAGTGAATCAGAGATGAAAGGGTGTCTCTCGCATTTTAATCTCAATGTCTCATGATCCTGCCTACCCTTGACACTGCAGTTTCCTATGTGACCTCTCTAGTGCTGAAAATAGCATAGTTTATATGACGATTCATCTGCATTAAGAGAATTAACAGAAGCTTATTCCCTTTAATTTGTTGCATTTCTGATTGGTTTATCATTGTAAGATGAAGATTGGATTCAATTCTGTGGACATACTGAGTAATTACCTTATGGCAGGCAGTCTGCTAACTAGGAAGATGTTCTAGGCACGGGGAATATATATGTAAGATTTGTTCGTTGTCCTCACAGTACACATTTAAGCTAAGGGCACGACAAGAAAGGCAGGTAGGAGCTGAGAGCACAAACTTGGGATCAGACAACATGGATTTTAATTTTCGTTTCACCACCTCAAGTGTGACCTTGAGCAAGTTATTTAAACTTTCTACTTTGGTTTTCTCATCTATTCAGTGAGGATAATAGTACTTTCTACTTTACTAGATTAAAACAAGGCATATAAAATACTTAGAATAGTGCTTGGCAGATAAGAAGTACTCAGTATATTTAAGTATGATTTTTATAGGAAATGAGGTAGTTTGTTATCTGTGTTAGCAAATCAGTTTAGGATTAGCAGATCACTTGATGAATTAGCACAGATCCTTTAACAGCCTTTATCACAAAACAGTTTTAGGGGAATGAGTTTTTAGAAGCATATACATAAGTAAACCCAGGCCATTTACTATTCAAAGAAGAGATTTTCTTTTCTTTTCTTTTTTGGTGTATTTTGTCATCCACCTATATATAAGCTGATCTACAAGCAATTATATAGTTTTAGAATTTATCCAAAATAGTTTTTTTAGTTTGACAAAAATTATGAATCAGTATCCATTAATTTATTTAAATCCTATCTTTTAATTGACTTATTATCTTAATTTAATATTTGGGATATGAAACAGTAGTGTAATAGCGCCTCACTGTACAACACAATCAAATTAAATGTTCTACTGAAAGGAATTTTTAGATTACTTAAATTTACCCTTACCAGGCGCCAAATTTTTCTTAATTATTTTTTACCCCAACCTTTTAGAAAAGTCCATGCCTTAATAAACAAGAGTGTTATCAAATGTAATCTTGTGGAATCATAAAATTTTACAGGTAGCACTCTAGCATTTACTTAGCTCAGCCTTCATTTTATGGATGAAGATACTGAGTTTCAGAAAAGGTAAATGACTTGTCCTTGGTCGCATCGTGATGTAGTGGCAGATCTGGGACCTGAACCCTGTTCTTCTGACTCTTAGACTCCCCAGGGTACGCAAGTGCCTCAGCCGTTCAGTATGTGTATGACTGTGCTGTGCTCTTACAGCACAGCGGCGGGCGCAGAGTGGGAAGTGCAGTGCGTGACACTGGACAGTGAGAATGACCTTGGAAGTGCTGAGAAGTGGCAAGTTTAGCAGTTGCATGAGACATGGCCTTCTTCAGTTACGCAGCTTTTTATTTTAGTGTGTATGAAAGTATTATTTTGAGATATCATTAGGAACTGTTAAAGTTTATAGTACTCTTTGAGGCTCGACTGCTCTGCTTTTCTCGTTATCCTCTGTTCTGTGCTTTGCTTCCAGCTATCACTTCTCCTTGCTGTCTGCTTCTGCCAGCTGGTCTTACAGTCTCATATTAGCTGCTTTTGTCTGTTGTCTGCTATGACGTAGGACAGAACTGGGCTAATGCTGCCTCTACTGCTTACTAGTTTGCAACTTTAGGCAAGTTAATTAACTTCTCTGAGTCTTAATTTTGGTATCTTAAAATTGGAGAATATAGTAGTGCCTACTTTTATAGGATTGCTGTAAAGATTAAAATGTGGCAACTGGAAGTACTCTCCGAGATCCAAATACAAATGCTGTTTTCTATTTTGTTTTCAGTATTTCCTGTGACTAGTTAACACTGAAGTGGACTAGTTAACACTGAAGTGACCCCATAGCTGCAGCAGGATACCAGCATAGAACTTTGGGAAGCGTCCCTCTAATGGACTCTGACCAAGCAGTCGGAACCTGTCCCTGAATGCCGGCATTCTAGCTTTCTGTTTGACTCAAGTTTCTATGTACCTTTCAACGCTGCTACTCAAAGATCGTAGCCCAGGAAGTACAGTACGCTGAAGTTGCAGCGATACACTAAAAAGCATTACAGCGTCTGGCAGAGTAGGCAAGAAGTGCTGGTAAAATAAGTGTCAGGACAAAGATGTCAGGATGTTGGTAACTGAAAATATATGTATGAATAAGAGATGAGTAAAAGGCTTCCAAACTGTCTACCTAGAAATCTCCAAGAAAATAACCCATAAAACTATTGCAGTACATATTTCAGTATTACTATAACAAGAATTATACTGCAGTACTTGGTGGCTTAATCAAATGAGGGTTATGTTCTCATTTAAAAGAATTCTTTGGGGATTCAGGATCCTTCTTTCTCTCTAACTCCATCATCCTCAACAAGGTACTACTGGAATTCCAGTCATCACATCCTAGTCCCAGGAAGACGGGATCAGAGCAAGGGGAAAACGTCAGCTCTCCTAAGTCAGTTCTCTTAAAGTTTTCCCAGAAGCCTCACTCAGTGACTTCTGGCACCCACAGCTGCAGAAAGAGGTTAGGAAACATAGTGTTTTCCTGGGCACGTAGGAGGAGAGAATGTGGAGTGGATAAGCTATGCTCTCCAGACCTACACTCTAAAGACTGGATTGGATAGTCTGACAGTCTACACTCTAAAGATCAGCTTTCCCTCAGTCCAGCAGAGCATATCAAAAATGTGATGGGGAAAAAAATCTTAATTGCGATAGCAACAAAAACTGTGGCTGCTTTGAGAGCAGACCTGGCAAGAAAAGCACAGCAAGCATGTGAAACATGACTGAAAGGCAAACTAAGAACTGAAAAAATAGACATAATGTGTTTCTAGATGAAAAGGTCTGATAAAAATATCTGTTCTCTACAAATTATTCTCTAAATTTGATGCACTCTTACTTAAATTTCCAACATGGTATTCATGAGCTTGGTAAAATGGTTTAAGATTCATATGAAATTTTCCACATACCACAAAACTATCACAGCTGGCTGGGAATAGGCAGATAGACTAATGGAACAGAAAAGAGAGTCCAAAAACAGATCTCTATTTATATGGAAATTTACTAGATAATAATAAAGGTATTTTCAGATCAGTAGAGAAACAATGGACCGTTTTCAGCCTGCATTATCCAGTATCACAGCCACTAAGCACAACTTTGTTCATGAAATTAAATACAGTTCAGTTCTCTGGGAGCGTTGGCCACATTTTGAGTACTCAGAAGCCACAGGCTGCTAGTTACTGCTGCACTGGACCGTGCAGGTACACATTTTCATCAGCGCAGAAAGCTCCATTGGACAGCACTGCTCTAGATAGTGAGGGGACACCTACTTAGGAAAAAACTTACTGCCCTAACTCAAGGCCTCAGTGCTTTTTTTAAAACTCCCCAGGTAATACTAATATATAGCCAGGGTTGCAAACCACTGCTGTAGATGATGACCTTCAGTGGTTGACAAAGCTTTAGCTGAAATATTTTTGATTTTTCCAGTGTATTCTCAAGCACTATCACTTGTAATTATTCTCGTGGGCCCAGGGCAGGGGGGACACTCTGAAGTGGCATCTGGGAAGGCAGCGTTACAGACTCTCAACAAACAACTGCATCTAACTTTTTCTCTGCTTGGTTATTGGACTCCATACTACCAAAAAAAAATATTCACTTTGTTTCCCAATATAAATTGGTAACTGCCCCAAGGCCTTTTCTGAATTTGGGGACTTTTCCTATTCAAGAGGTTTTTTTTTTTTTTTTTTTTTTTTTTTTGAAAATACTTACATTGATTTAGTTTACCATCTAAATACAGTCTGTGTCCAACACAGATGTGCGTTGCATGAATATTATGCATCCAAACGGTGCTTTGATGCTTTTCTAAGCAGTGCTATTAAATTCTTTTCACAAAGACTCAAACAGTATTTTTAAGTACTACATTAGGATGAATACTTCTTGGAGGACAGTACTTTGCCATGATTAATCTAGTTAAATCCTTCATTCATGTAGTAGCACTTTTCTTATCTTAGAAGCGTGGCTTCTCTGGATGTCAGAGCCAGGCATCAGACTCATGAGCACTATGAAAAAGATCTATGTGAACCCCATCCTCCCTGCCGCATTCAGAAAATATCCAAGAACCACATGTGTCTTTCTGGCATTGAAACTGATTTCTTGTTAAGTTGGTAGGTCTCCCACATGCCTAGCAAGTGATTCACAACCTCTTCTCTAATGTACCACCTAATCCCCAGTGATTCCAGGAAGCTTCTTAGTTCTCAAATTCACATCATTTAAATTCATTTAAATGTATAAATATGGGTATTTACCATGCAGCACTGTGGTGATCATAGCTCCAGAAAGGTTTTAGGACGTCTTAGACTTCAGAAGACTGCTAGAAAAATGAAAATGCTTCATGTAAATCATTAGAAACTATACCTCAGGTATTTTGAATTTCTTACCTTTAAAAATAAAAACCATGTGAGCAGAAAGCTAGCAATTCAAAAAGTACAACAGAAATTAAATGTTTTAATACAGACTGCAGGAGATAAAAGTAATTTTGAATATTCATCGACCTGGTTGTAAACCTTAAGACCTGTTTGATTTATCTGCAGTAGTTTATTGGAAGTCATCAAATGCTTACATGTGAAGCCAAGAAAATACAGCATTTAATAAATTTTTTTGGTCTAAATTCCCAGTGTTAATAAAACCTAAGCAGAAAAAGATCACTGTATTCTTATTTAAGGAGTCAGATGATTATTGGATCCAGCTGTTCAGAGGGAGTGCGATGTTGGGTAACTGTTCATCCAGAATATTCTTTGGAGATGAGTTTTTCTAAGAGATCTCCAGTGTGACTGTGGGTGTGTCCCATCTTCCTCAGCCTCTGGGGTGTCCTGTGGGTACTCAGGAAGCAGCCCAGGAAAATTGTACTCTTTGTGCTCAACCTGCAACCAATACCTCATTCTCAAAAATAAAGATAAAAATAACTGTGCTAACTTAGGGACACTAGTGACTTGAAATAAGGCCTGAGGTTGTGGTATCTGTTACAGTGTCTTTGAAGACACAAGTTTGAGACTGTCTGTCTTGGAAGTGTCGCACAGGTGGTAGGTGCTTGTTGCTGCTATCTAAGTGGAGAGACCAGGTTCCAGGTGCTTAACATTTCCACGGTGGTCAGGTTTCTTTAAATTCCAAAGTTCTGGCTCCAAACAAGGTAGTGTAAAAAAGAACTAAGGACCTGCGATTCCTGGTGAACGGCTACTCGGAAGACAGTACTGGCTACTGTGAAACTATTTGTCATTCAGAACTCTTAACTGCTCTCTAAATAGTTGATGTGTTACTTCCTAGGGACATTCCAGCTATATCACACACCTTGACTGGTCCCCAGACAACAAGTATATAATGTCTAACTCGGGAGACTATGAGATCCTGTACTGTGAGTATGAACGATCACGTGCGGCTGAGACGTGTCTGTCGGGCAGTAATGAGCAGGCTGCAGGGACTGAATTGTGCAGCAGCTGCACACTGGCCCCTGACCTGACAAAGCTCGTATGGCTCTGAGCTGGCTAAGGACTGAGAATCTCAAAGAAAGTAGTGAGTTCATTTAAATGTCATAGGAAATTATTCAGGGAGACTGGTGCTGCTCTGAATGGTTCTGTATTTAACAACTTTTCTTGGAGACAGGAAGGAGTATAATGGATGAGCAATTATGCTTTTTAAAGAACAATTTCAGTGGGAAACAGTTTGTAGTTCTATCTATAAACCCTGTTAAACACTTTGCCTTGTTAAGTGTGTCTTAATGTTTTTCAGTGTATGGATAATAAATACAAGTAAACGTGGCTAGTTTGAATCAAGATGCACTGTCAAGTACATTTGTACACAAGCACTATGATCATACTTCCTGTTTCTGAATTTAAAGGGGACATTCCAAATGGCTGCAAACTAATCAGGAATCGATCGGATTGTAAGGACATTGATTGGACGACATACACCTGTGTGCTAGGCTTTCAAGTCTTTGGTAAGGACGTGACATTTGGGAAAGGCGATTGTGGGTTTTTATTTATATTTACTTGGTTAAATTTCTAAACAAAACTAGTCTACATGTGTTCTTTGGTATTATCACCATTAATGCCCAATTCAGAGAAGTGTATTAGGATTGAACCAATACAAAATTTATTCTCTGAAGAATCCAGTTTTGGTCCGCAATAAATTCAGACTAATCTAATCTAGTAGAGGTTTGTGCTTATTATGTTGAACCAGTGTGTCATAATGATTCAGAATAATTAAATTTGCTGTGTCGACCTTTGGACATAAATAATAGTTCCAGGAAAATTCTATGTATAGCATGATAGACCAATGGATGTCCCGTGCATTTCCACTAAGAAAGAATGAGGTCCTTTAAGTGCCTGTCTAAAAGGGATCAGTGAAAGAGTCTGTAAATTTTACAATTACCCAGAATCCACTTTGGAGAATCAGTGCTATGGCATTGTTTCTGTACTTCGTTTGCTACAGAAGTAACTGAGAACTTCCCCTCCAACTAGAAACTTTAAACAGGAAGAGCTTATTGTTGAGGTGAGATGTGAGATAAGCTAAAACTAAAATTATTTATTAGCACCACCTGCTGGTTACTAGTGAGTACTTTTGAGTCTTAAAGTCTTAAAATTTTCCATCTTGAAGCTATTTCAGTGTATTAGTAGTTAGTTAGATTTTGGGTAAAATTTCATCATTTGAATAAAGTATTGAGCCACTACAAAATTTGTAAGGGAAATGTTAGCAGTTAAGAGTTTGAACACAGATGAAAAATCAGTAAGATTCTAAAACACATGTAGCAGTGCAGTTACGTTTTTCAGGCTAATTTTTCTACCCCCCCCCCCCGTCTCCATATCAAAGGTGTCTGGCCAGAAGGATCTGATGGGACAGATATCAATGCACTGGTGCGATCCCACAATAGAAAGGTGATAGCTGTTGCTGATGACTTTTGCAAAGTCCATCTGTTTCAGTATCCCTGCTCCAAAGCAAAGGTAAAATCAATTTAATAAAAACTAATGTTATAGGAAGTTTTGTGGCAATGGTGAGAAAACATCTGCAGGGTTACCAATTACTATCTGTGATATACTCCAGCGCACAGTCGGAGGGAGCAGGCCGTCTGGAAGCACCCAAGCAGGTGGTGCGTGTCTTTTCCTTCCTCATTCAGGTCAAGGAGAACAAAGAGAAGACAGCTGACAATGTTTTATTCATTTTTTTATTGTCCAACTTTTTTCACTTTGATTTCTTGGCAGATCTAAAATTCTTCTAAACATACTATTTGTGACCCATGATTAATATTATAAAGCTCCTAAATCATCTATAATCCTGCCAACCTAGTAAATTCTCCCCTTGCCATCTCAATAGAAGTTAATAAGCTCTAACAAGTATACCAACCTGACATCCAGAAGAGACATTTGTTTTAACCAGAGTCTGAAAGTATAGCTTGTCCAATTTTTGTTTCTCCCATATGAATAGGTATTAAAAGGAAATTACTGCTAGCTTTATTCCTCAGTCAGTGACTGGTGGTTTTGATCTGCATTACCTGTTTCACAAGCTGCATGACCTCCCTTATGTAGTCACCACCATTGCTGTACGCAGGCATGTAAAGAACGAGTTTAATTTTCCTGTCTGATTTATTTCATGTAGGCTCCCAGTCACAAGTACAGTGCCCACAGCAGCCATGTCACCAATGTCAGTTTTACTCATAATGACAGTCACCTGATTTCAACTGGTGGAAAAGACATGAGCATCATTCAGTGGAAACTCGTGGAAAAGTTACCTTTGCCTCAAAATGAGATTGTAGCAGATACCACGATAACCAAAGCCCCCATCTCTTCCACTGAGGGCGTCATGCAGTCAGAAATTCCCACACCACCTCCTTCCCAGCCCCCACATGAGACGGCTGAAGAAGAAAGTAGAAGAAGCAGTTCTCCCACACTTCTGGAGAACAGCCTGGAGCAAACTGTGGAGCCCAGCGAGGAGCAGAGTGAGGCAGGCAGCGAGGACCTCGCTGAGCCTGTGTGTGAAGAGCCAGCCAAAGAGATGAGCGATGAGCAGGGTGAAGCCGCTCTTCCTGAGGACCAGCAAGACCCTTCGCCCCAGTCCTAACCCCAGACTTCAGTGCGACTCTTTTCCTCCAGCCGCATGGTGGTCTTGTGATAGAGTTCAGGTAACAGGCCAGGAAGTGATGGAGAATCACTATTGATGGAGATTTGGGTTTTTGCGTGACCTGCTTTCAATAGTCTTATCTTCCGTCTTTCAAATGCAGTCGACCTAAAGGTTCGGTGTGGTGTGTGCTGAAAATTAACCAAACTTAATAGTAGGAAAAGACTGAAACATTAAGTATGTCTCAGAAATTACTGTGTGAGGAGTATGATGTAAATACTGGAAACAAAAGCAGCAATTGTGTAGGTTTAAAGTAAATCCCCCGTTATCTGACAGGCTTTCTTCAGGAACAACCAGAGACACCACAAACACTCGTCTACTGGCTCAGACTCTTGCTACTTTTTCCCCGATGCTGAAAAAGAAACCAAAACACCTCTCTTACTGAGATGTCCTCCTGCCCCAAATGTCTAGTAGAAATGTTTCAGTTAAGAAAAACTTCAGTCTTGCCACAAGCAGTGGTGTTGCCTTCTTGAGTAATAATGACGTTCTCCTACCCTGCCAGTAGATGTCCAGGTGTGCTTGGGGGCCTGCCACATAGGTGCTGCCTTTACCAAGTCAGAGTGACGGATTCAATTTCCTGTGTGCAAAATCCATTTTATCTTAGAACTAAGAAAGCAGTGGTTTGTTAAAGAGCTTCTAATGTATATTAAACCATTGATACTCAGAAATAAAGGATTCCTCCAAGGATTCCTTTACTGGCCTAAACATCTTCAAATGTTTGACATTCAATGGAAGATTGGAAGAAAAAAAAAAAAACCGCATGCCTATAAAACTAAACTTGGCTAATTTTAGCTTAGCCTTCATCATAATTTGTTCCCTCGATAACAAATAGTAAGTTTAAATGATTGAATTGGTGCTTGACATTCATGGGTTTAGTTGTAACTTTTATACAGATTATTGAGGGATAAAATACTCAGCAAATTGCAGATTTCTTTTTTATAGACGTGTGAATAATAGTTACAGTAATTTTTTATAAATTGAATACTTAGCAGACTTGCTATATATGGTGACTTTTCTCTGGTGGAGTTGTTCTAAAGCCTTGCAATTTCTGATGTGGCTCTTTATTTTGGGCAGTGCATGTATTATGCATCGGATAGTTGTTTTTTTAAGTTTTGTCAGACTATGTTTTTCTTAGTTATTTCCTATTTTCAAAATAATTACTGACAAATATGCATTTCCTATATATTTGTTTATACTTTGATTATAAAAAAACTTCTATTTTTTAACTTGCTGCATTGTTTTGATATTTCTTTTTTTTTTTTTTTTTTTTGGTTAGATGTTAGAAACTTTGGGTGAGTTCAGAAGTCTTAAGTATGCAAGTGTTTACGTGATTGTGCCATTCCAAAGTGCATCAGAACTGTCATTCCCTTCTAGTATCTTCTCAGGAGTAATATAAATCAGGTATTTCATCGTCATTTGGTAATATACAAACTCCAGTGAACTCCCAAGGACACTCACAACATTTGTATTCACATGCTGTAAGGGTGTGGGTGTGTGTGAAGGGGTGAGTGTGACACCTACTCTGTGTGTGTATCTCTATGTAAGAGGATATACGCCACGTTGAAAATACTCAGTGTGTATCTCTACGTGTATAGACATAAGTCCGTGTATTATCTCTTTCCTTTTGTTTACAACTGTTCAAAAAAAAAACCTCAAAGTAGTTCTCTTCAAAAGAAGAGAGATTCCAAGCAACCCATCATTTCTCAGTATGTTTGTACATAATCATCAGAGAGCAGCCGCAGTATCAGGCATACGTGCTTGCCTATTAGCTGTGGTGATTAAATCAGGTCAGCATGTGCTGCTCCCTGCAAGAAAAATACTATGAGATAAACAAGTAATTCTAGGAGAAGAAAAAGCATTTTAAGTCCCTGGGGGACACAGCTCTCCGTGATAAGCAGGGAGTGTTTTAGGGACAACAGTCACCTCTGGGGTTGCCGTGTACAACGAGATGTAGAGTCATGACACTCTTGGGTGGGAGCTTCCAAAGACACTACTAACGCGCAGAAAGCGTTCCAGCTCTCTACTGCTGGCAACTACTGTGTAACAGTCAATTAAATCTGTGATAATGGTTGGAAGTGGGTGGGATTATAAAATTGTAGATGTTTTTAGAAAACTTGTGAATGAAAATGAATCCAAGTGTTTCATGTGAAGATGTTGAGCCATTTCTATCATGCATTCCTGTCTTATGGCAGAAAATTTTGAAGATTAAAAAATAAAATAATCAAAATGTTTCATTTGTCTCTCTAAATGTGTCTTGAGTCTTTTTTTCATTTATGCTGCTAGTTTCCACGGCTATTCAATTATCAGCAGACATGACAGTTCACAAGGACACATCTACCAGGTAACCACTACTATGGATACAGCCATTCTGGTAGTGACAGACAGATAGACTCTCATAATGTTAGAGGAAATTACTTCTGATTTATGCCTCCACTTAATAGGGAAGTATTTGGTTTAATTTATTTCATGTCTACTCTCTAATGTTTAACATTGGATAATCTTGGTGATCCTGCTTACCTGCCTGGCTCCACAGCCTGCCGCTGCCTTCCGGGGTTAGCCTGAGGGAGGCCCTTGAACTCAGCAGGACGCTATGTCCCTGCTTTCTCCATCTCTCGGCTGCGTAGTGACACATCCCCTGTACACCACAACAAATAAATTAGCTGCTACAAATTCGTTAGGAAGAATTAGTGTACTCCATACACTCCCCAGCTTTACAGTCATGGAAATGACGGGGTTTTCATCACTTTATTCATCCCTGTGACTACGAACATACGTTCACAGACACGTGCACTAAGCCACGAGAGGCTGTCTCGGCAGGAATTCCTCCTCCAATGATTCGGAGACAAAATAGCTGACAGGAACCAGAACAAACCTACTAACTGATTTTTCTTCTTAATAAAAGAAGGTCTAACAAAGGAACTTGCTTATAGGGAAATAATGATGAATTAGACCTTGGACACACACAGGTGTGTAACTTCTAGAAGGAACTAGGTTTCCAGCTTAATACTAGAAGTGAAATGAAGAGTTAAGGACAATAACGTGTTTTTAAAGCAGATGTGCAGGACTTGGATAGAGGAGAGCTGCCGCCAGAGGAGTCCCAGTGCAGCTAGCACACCCCAGACATCCGGGCTGTCACTCAGTGATGGGCGTGTCACCCTGTGGTCGAAGGGACAGGCTGGGGAGATTTCAGGAACAGGCCTGAGTTCACTTACCGAGGTAACAGCTGTGCCAGGACTTCGTGTACTGTGACTTAAAAACTGGAGTGTCTTACACCAGGAGAAAAACATTCTTCTGAAACAGGGAGGAAGAAGGAAAGGACAAGGGTGAAGATTCACAGAGATGTTAAGAAGTAGGGAAAGAGCAGTCATCTCAGTCCTCAGTCCAGAGAGGGCAAGGGTGCTGCCCACAGCAATGTGGCGTGTCTCTCGCCATCACAGAAGCCAGGCCCTAAAGAAGCCCTTTTGTCCAGGAGGCCCAGGAATGGCATCTCCAAGGACCACAGAAAAAGTCTCCAGGCATTTTTCCCAATGCAACCCTTTGTAAAGGAACAGCTCCTGCCCTCCTTGCAGACCCAGGTAACGTACACATTTTGTGCTACTCAGTTCACCTTTTCCAAAGGAAACCTGCATTTCTACTCCACCCTCATTACAGATCCCTACAATAACCTCTGATACAAGGACAAGAAAGTCTCACTGTCTCCTCTAGAAATGTCAGCGTATGTCATTTCTGTACCCAGGGGTAATGTATTCCAGAGACCACAGCTTACCAAACTGAACACATTTGTGTTTATCTTAATTTTACCAACCCAGAAATCTGGCAGAAAAACTTAAGGGTACCACTTCTATATCTCAAAGGACAAAAACATCAAGAAATGGGGGAAAACAACCCACCTGAGTGCTCAATGATTAAAACAGGGCACATCCATAGGACTAAATGCTTTTCAATGATAACAGCTAACACTTAAGTGCTTTCCATGTATTAACTCGTTCAATTCTTTCAGCAATTCTAAATTTGATTATCTCCATTTTACAGATAAGGAAACCAATAGAGAAGCCAGGATACCCTAATAACAAGTGGCTGAGCCAAGATCTGAAGGCAGGTCCTCTTCTCCAGAGTCCCGGGGACTAGCCACGTGCTCTGTTCTGGAGCACTGCAGGATAGTGTAGTGATTATTAGTTAACAAGACAGAATGAAATGGATTAAGCTTCTGGTATGAAGGACTTGAGACCAGTATATGGAAAAACTGCAGAAAGTGATTAGGCTTTGGAAAAGGCAACTTTGAACTCTGAACAATGTCACGAAGTTGGAGGGACCGTTCTTATGCACGAGTCCCTCCTGCCATCCCTACAACCCGAGTGCGGGGCAGAGCCTCAGGCCAGGCTGTGGCACCTGCTGCCAGCGACTCCTTGCCCTTCCTGCCTTTTTTGGCTCATGTGTCCTCAGTCCCTGATGTTCAGCTTAAACCTATTTGTGTGGAGGCGCTGCCCCCCCTTATTTTCCAATCTTTGAGCAACTTCCACTTCAAAAAAGAAGCTTGGCAGCTTCCTTCTTCACTGGTCAAGTGCTTCTTCCCCTCAGTCCTCCGGCCCTGTGGGCCCAGCCTCGGCCAGGGCTTTGATCTTGCCTCTCCTCTCCCTAAGCCATGTAAACACGCAGTACTGACAACAGATTTTCCTGAGGGAGCCACCCAGAGACAGAGATGAATATGCATAACTGCCGGTACCAACAACTTAACAACCCCGCGGGACCACGCAGATCTCAACTCCTGGCAGAGCTCACTAGAGAAGCTGCAAACAAAGTGGGTGCTAGAAGGGCCTCAGGGAGGAAAAATAATTTTTTAATAAAAAGCAAAGCCCTTGTACCTGTTCATCTCGTTTCATTCTTGATGCTCACAGGGCCGCCAAGCCAGAGTGCATCCTGGGAAAGGTCAAAGGGTACTCTGAAGCCCACCCCCACGTGGCGATGCCCATTCAGCCAACGTCGGGGCAGGCTGACTTGGAAACCTGGCTGGAGGCAGGGAAACCAGAAGCTGGATGCATCCTCTTACCTTGTCAGCTGTAGAACGAACGCTCTCTGTTAACTGTAAGTCAGTGTCCAGGGAAGGCACGGCCTCTTCCTCCTACAGACTGCAGTCTCTCTACAATAAAAATGTACTGCTACCAACACCTTCAAAGTGGTAGCCACTTTGAGTCCAGAGAGTTTGTGTGGGACTAGGACCCACAGGAGTCATCACTTCATCAGGTTTATGTACAAACCCGCCTCATCCAAGTTACAGTACTGGGCTCAGCAGGGAATCCAGCAATGAGAAAGATACAGCCCCTGCCCTCATGGAGCACGTATCCTAGAAAGCCTATCTGGAAAGTTTCCTGACTGCACATTTCCATTTATATAACATTCGTGAAACGACACCACAGAGAACAGACTGGTGGTTGCCAGGGCACAGAGACAAAGGGGAGGAGATGTCACGATAAAGGCATAGCACAGGTGGTTCCTCTGTGATGGAACACGCTGCATCTTGGTTATGATGACAATTACATGAACCTATACGTGGGACTAAACTGCCCAGAACACCCATGCACACAGGAATGCAGGCAAAACTGGTGGGATCTGATTAAGGTCTGTAGTCTGCTCACATGCCCCTGGAGAGAGGCAGCCGGTGCCAAACCCCTGACGAAGGAGATGGCTCCTGGAGTCCTCCCCTTTGCTGGGCATTCTGCACTCCCACCCCCACCCCCACCACTGGGTCCTCACTGGCTTCCCTTCTGACTGATCTGCGTGTCACTGGTGCTTACTCCCTTTCTTGGAGATGCTCTCTTGAAGGCGTCCCACAGCTGCCTTCCCTCAGGTGCTTGGGCTGAATCACCTTCCCTTACTCAGAATTAATAAAATGACAAGAAAAAGAACTCCATTCTTTAGCAGGCCCTGGTGAAACGGATGCAGAATTGAGATTAGGTGACCAGGCTTTCTCCTCTGAGAGCAACAGCCCCCCCAGTTTCATTGGCAAAATCCATTTTCATGTGGCCAACTATTTGCTGCCCGGGAATATCTCAGCACCAGAATCATTAGCAGGAGTGTTTGCCAGCCTTTGACATTTCCATTTAGAAGATGAGTTAATTCTGAGCTGAGCTGAGTCCCTTCTCTCTTGGAAGAATGAGTTAGGACTCAAGCCCTCACTGGCCCCAGGAGCATCAGTGATGCCCCTCTACCCCGCTCATTGGTGGGTCAGCCTTTCTCGGGGGAAGTGAGAAATCTGACATGAAAAACTCAGGGCTGCAATGAAAAGGGCATATTTCATTGTGGGTTTGGGTAAGGTTAGGCCCATCTCCCTGGTCTCCGTGTGAAAGAGAAAGGGGGTTTGCCCACCAGGAGCATCTGGTCCACAGGGGAGAGACCTTCGGGATAGCACACGGGCTCTGCCCCCACCTGCTCCATGAAGGCCCAGTGGCCAACAGGCATGAGAAAAGCAGATGAGCTGTCCTTGCCTCAGGGTGCAGGGAAGGCTGTCCCCTGGGGGGACAGGCTGGGGCCTCCACCACAATAAACAACGTTTGAACTGGAAGCATGAGCAGTGGGACAGATTGTTAGGAAAGCCAGGAGAGCCTGCAGATGGCTCTGTTAATAAAGCTGCCATTCACAGCCACCAAGGCTGAAGTGGTTTCCATGGGAAACCCTCACATTAAAACAGAAGGAAGTTCTTTTAAGTTATAGTAGGTAATAACATTTTTATTAAACATTATCAAATCTAAACACCAGGATTTGCCTAGGAGGGCACTCAGGAAACCACAGAATGGCCATCTGCACTGTTGGGAGCTATGGCGCGAGCATGGGAGATTTCTCAGGTATGCCCTTGACCTGGGGCTCTTCGCTCCTCTCTGTGCTGATTCAGTGAGAAGGTCTGTTCTATGTCACTCATTCTACAGTGCTGGGGTCACTCTAGTGACCCTGGGAGGACTGGGAGGGCAGCCTCGAGGCCACTCTACGGAGCCAGCCTAGAGCTTGACCCCTGGGCATGAGTGACACTGGTCACCTTCCTCTTTCTTGAAAACCCTCTCCTCTCCTGCCAGGCACCACTGGCTCCAGGTTTCTCTCTTCCCTGCATCCATCCTCCCTCCTTCCTTTTTCCTCCTTCCTCCTTTCCTTCCTTCCATCTTCCTTCCAAAGGGTAGCAGAGTAAGCCAGCCCCAAATACACCATTTAGTATATTGATTATTCTGAGCTGTGGGCACTTGAAACCCAGCCAATACAAGGAGGGGCTTTCTCTGAACCCCCCCCCCATTTGCCTACAGACAGAGGCTCCCAAAGGAATTCAGTCATCACAGATCCCTCCCCAGAGGTCATCAACAAGGGGACTCTCGGGACAGGGGAAGAGACTGCAAGTCCACACCACACCCAGACATACATTGTCACCATCACACCTCCCATTGACTCTTCTGAGGGCCCTTCATCTTCCCTAGAAATCATGTACTCTCCCCTCAGAGGCCACATCCCCTTCCCTCTCCCTATTAAGCCATATTTAACCCTGAATTCTAAGCCACTTCAGGAAGTAGCTCATCTTTCCTGGGGTATCTCCCACGCACACGTGAGGTATACGTGTTTGTAAACTTGTCTACTTTTCTCTTATTAATCTATCTTTTATTACAGGGGGTCTCAGCCAAGAACTCAGGAGGGTGGAAGAAAAATTGTTTTTCCTCTCCTACACTTGCATCTTCCTTCCTAACTTACAGTAGAAGGCAGAAATCTCAGGGTATCTGTGCATATGCACATACGCATACACACCCACCAGATGAAGATGGCCCTTTTCCAGCACAGAAGTCTGCCTTGTGACCCTCCCCTATCCGTCCTCCCTGACAAGGGTGCCCACTGTTCCAACCTCTACCACCACACACTGCCCCTGCCAAGGTCTGACTTTTATATAGATGAAGTCACAGGGGATGCTCTCGTGTCCAGTTTCTTTCACGCAACATGGTGTCTGTGTCTCTTCCATTCTTAGACCCTAAAAGCCATCACAAGCCCTTGTCCCTTCCACCTGCTCCTGAAATACTGGTGTTTCCCCCATTCTATTTCCTCACCTTGCACACACTCCCTAACAGTGTAGCAGACACCCCAGTTCCCACCATCCCTCTAACTGCTAACTCTCAAATTCCTATCTCTAGTCCAGACCCCCCAGCCTACCTCTAGACCCAACTGCCTGCTGGAATTCTTTGCCTAGAGGGCTCACAGACAATCCGTTTTTCCCAACAAGTCATGCCCTGCCCTGTACACCCCAAATCTTGCACCTCTTATCACCCAGGAGCCAGACCAAGTCATCTCTGGAGCACCCAGAAGCTTGACGCACCCTCACCTCTGACGTCCAACTAATGGTCAGACTGGGCTCACTCTGCCTTCCTAACAGCCCTGGGATTCACGCCTCCCCCCACGCCCACTGCCCTGCTCCCCAGGCCTTCATAACCTCTCAACCAAACTCTCGTAACAACTCTTAACTAGTCCAACGCCTCAAGTCTTTCCTCTCCAATCTGTCCTCCATATTGGCACCATAGACCAAAACAACACTGGACTCTGTGGCCATCCTCCCAGCACACACCACCCTTATTGTTCAGCGACTTGAGTCCAGGCTCTCTTTGGCTCAGCCGCAGGAAGGTTCATGAGCTGGCCTGAGCCTCCCTCTCTAGCAGTGGGTCCTGCCAGTCCTCTCTCCCCACCTGCTCTCCCGCACATCCAAGACACCCTCACACATTAGCAAGTGCTCTTCCCTCAGGCCAATGCTCTTCCCCACTGCATTTAGTGGGGAGCCACATACACATCACTATGCAATTACACAGCACCCCCTCAGAGAATGTCCCTCCACTCCCCCGCCTTCCTGGGCCCTGGCCCTGACTCTGGACAGTTCTGTTGCACTTTGGTTATGCTTGTCATTCTGTGAGCTCTGGAGGCCAGGGACAGTGTCACCTCTCTCTGGTCTCTACTGCCCAACACAGAATCTGACACACAGATTGCAGAATGGTCTGTGCTGTAACAGTTCTGTTGGTGAAGGTGGGGCAAGTCCCCAGTCTGACAGGAAGATGGGGTGCCAATTCTCAGGTTACCCCAGATCGGAAAAGCCGTGTGGGAAAAGACAACAGGGCACCTGATGGCCCATAAGGAAAGATAAGAAAACTCGTGGGGGCCAGAAGCAGCCCAGGGAGCTGGGGCACCAGGCAAGAGAACAGACAAGACTGAAAGTCACAGCTCAGAAGTGGCCAGGTCACCTGGCAGCACTTGGAAACCTCAGGCTCAAGATGCTCTTGGGCCCAAACCCTGGGGCGTGACCGTCTTCACAAGTGGAGTGAGGCTGCTCCTTCTGTTTTTACCCGCATCTGGCCCAGACCCCAGACCACAGTGAGCTTCTCCCAGGCCCACAGCACAAGACACCAAACTCAGTAAAGACACCAAGGGTCCCCTCAATGCATTCGTGTTCCCAAGATACGCAGGGAAGGGCACAGTGAACACCTCTGACCTCTGTCCACACCTGGAGCTGAAGAAAGCAGATCTCCCCTCCCTGCTTCTGGAGGCCTGGAATGATCCTCCTTGGGGAATCCTGGGTTGGCTTAAAGATTCCCGGTCGTAACATCTCACATCCATAATCATGCAGGAAAATAAACAGAAAAAATATGCTGGATGACAAGGTACAGATAAGTCCTAGAGCAAGGACACAGAGCTTTATTCTTGCCTCCTCCCCACCCACTCCTCGGCCACTGGACCAGAGCCTGGGAGTGCTGGCTCCCTCAGGACACTGAGGCGGCAGAGAGGCCCAGATGAGGACTCTGACCCATCACTCGGCAGAAACAAGGCCACCCACACCAAAGCACAAAGGCTCAGGGAGAGTCAGGTCGTGGAATGGCAAACAGCAGGGCACCCTCTCCCAACCCACAAGGCCCTCCTGGGGAGACCTCAGCTCCCCAAGACCTTCCTCAAGGCCTGCCCAAGTTGGCCTGGGCTGGGCAGGCGATCTTAACTAGTCCTTCACTTTAACTCCCATGACCACAGGTCATGTTTTTGCAAATTACACACCTCAACCCAAGCATCAGCAGTGCTTACTTACCCTGCGCAGCCGGGCCTACTTTTCCGGGTGCAATTCTTTCCGATGCTCAGTGAGCAGGACCCAACTAAGGGAGGGGTGGGCAGACACATCAAGTTATGAATCAATTTGCCAAATGACCATTTCTTCAAGGACATAACTTCAAAGGAGAAAGGAGAACAGACAAACAAAGGTTCTTCTGTGCGACTCTACTTTAATTAGAATGACAACTAACTGAAAGCAATTTAATGTTGGTTCATGAAAGATTAATAGAATTCATGTTTTGGAGATGCTGAATGCAACACAGACTTAGCCAGAAATAAAAATCTAACCTTTATTCTCTTTAATTATTCGGTCAGAATAATTTCCTAGGAGCAGGTTTAGTCTCTGGATGGCTTTAATTAAACACCACTGAACTTTGAAGTTGACATCAACTCATCCAGCTGCAACTCAATTTTCAAATTAATCTGCTGTCTAACAGAGAGGTTTTGTGGCCTAAGCAGGGGAGCTGTGGGGGAGTGGAAGGCGGGCTCAGAGCCCAACAGGTATTAACCAATTCTGGCACATCTTACATCTTCCCCACTCCTCTCCAGTGGCAGGGCACTTACACAACTAGAGCCAGGGCCTCCCTAAGGAGGGGCCCAGGCCGAGCTGAGCAACCAAGCTGCCTCCTTCCTTGGCTTTTTCCACAGTCCTGGGTTCATGCTCCACTATCTCAACAACTTAAGCATAAGCCTGGTACAGCCAGACCCTTAAGTGGGCCCCAGGGCCATTAGCCCCCTGCCCAAATACCTCCACTCTACCCTTGCTCTCCTCCCGTGTCTCTGCCTCTCCCTTGGAGTACAGAAATATGTGAAGAGCCAAGGTGTGGCCCTTCTGGCTGGGTGCCTTCAGGAAACACTCCTACTTCTAAACTGACCTCCCTTCCAGCACTCCACCCAGGCCCCAGGTACCAGCCTCTCCTTCTTCTGGCTTCGAAAGCCCACATCCTGAAAAAAGCAAAGCAAAACTACAATGAGGTATCACCTCACACCAGTCAGAACGGCCATCATTCAAAAGTCCATGAACAATAAATGCTGGAGAGGATATGCAGAAAAGGGAACCCTCTTACACTGCTGGTGGGAATGCATTTTGGTGCAACCATTATGGAAAACAATATGGAGATTTCTCTAAAAACTAAAAATAGACCTACCATATGATCCCACAATCCCACTCCTGGGTATATATCCGGAGAGAACTCTAATTTGAAAAAACACATTAACCCCAGTGTTCATAGCAGCACTATATACAATAGCCAAGACATGGAAGCAACCTAAATGTCCATCAACACATGACTGGATAATGAAGTTGTGGTATATTTATACAATGGAATACTACTCAGCCATAAAAAATAATAAAATAATATCATTTGCGACAACATGAATGGACCCAGAGATCATCATTCTAAGTAAGCCAGAAAGAGAAAGGAAGATACCATATGGTATCACTTATATGTAGAATCTAAAAGAAAAAGAGAAAGAAAAAAAAAGGGACACTATGAACCTATGTACAAAACAGAAACAGACTCACATAATAAACAATCCTATGGTTACCAGGGAAAAGGGGATGGGAAAGGATAAATTTGGGAGTTTGAGATTTGCTAATGGCAGCCACCATATATATAAAAACAGATTTTAAAAAGTTTAAAAGAAAGAAAGAAAACTCAGGTCCCTAATTTTGTCAGTTGTAGTCTGTAGCCATATCAAGGTCCTTTTGCAATGAGCTTCTGATTCTTTCTAAAACTTCTTCCCTGCTGACTGGGAGGCAACCCCACCATCTCTCACAGCCTGGGGCTGTTCAGCTGACTTCCATCGGAATGACACTTGGGGGATGCAAAGATTCCAATCTGGCTGGTACACGTCAGACAACTTGAAGGACCTGTGCTCTAGCCCTAGGGTACAGTCAAAGTGACCATGACAAAGCTCAGGGACATGGGCAAGGTCAGGGCAAGGGAAGGCATGATGTCCTAAGAGGGCTGTGTCAGAACTTGAGGAAAAAAATATTATCTAAACAATGTTATTTCCAGCCACTCTGCTTCCCCTGCTTCCATTAGTATTTTACACCAGCTTCCTTTGAAATCAGCTCTAACAGACTCTGGGCCCCGAGCAAGCAGCATATGGTCTCAATCCGCCCATCCCAACACATTCCGCAGCAGCACGGCACCCTGAGTGCCCTGAGACCACACAAAGGTCAGGATTCCTGATTCAAGCTTATACAAGTGACAGCTGCAAATGACCTATCCTCCCAATCCTCTTATCAGGAGGTGGCTGTGCCACCCCAGTTGCTCTGTTGGTGCAGAGAGCCAGGGTCAGCTGGGCTCCTTCACAATCATGAGGCTGACCCACTACAGCCCAGAAGCCACAGCCAGGTTTCCCCAACCTGCACCCAGCCAGGAGCAGCCTGTCCTCAAGCAACCAAACCCCACTAGTCCCTCAGAGCCCTGAGGTTGGGACAAGTGAGGGGTAACAGCGGAATTCCTCCATAACAAGAGAGTTTCTTGATCATGGGGTTTACCAACCGTAGGAGACTTGAGAGATAACCTAAAAGGACCTAAAAATAATTATTAAAAGAGTTTCCTTAAATATAATAACAGTGCTTGCTTACAAAGACAAAAGTATCTGATTCATCTTGGGGTCCCTGACACCTCATAGTGTGTGCTTTTGCATGCTAAGTATCTGGGAGACGCAGAGGATTAGTGGAACTCCTTAATGACCGACTGTGGGTCAGAGCAGCCCTGGATGACCAAGAATGATGGCCACTGAACATGACAAGAGGAACAGTAAGAACAAAGCCCCATTTCTCAACTCTGACAAGGACAGTCTTTGGTGCTAGATTAGAGTGCTCCAACCCAGGGCACGCACAGTCAAAAACGTCAAATAAATGTATTAAGTCACTAGGACCAGAGAGTACAGAATTTCTAAGCGAATCATTATTGCCCCTGGTGTAACTTCTAGCTACTGAATATCAATAGGCCAGAAAGTGAAAGGTTTGCACAACTTCCCACCATAAAAAAAGTCCGAAAGAAGACTTGGAGATTAGAAGCCTGAAAGTCAGACAAGCCCGAGAAGTCTGCCCAGAGCCACACACAGCAAGGGGAGAAAAGGTATGTAGATCAAAGAAAGCCAGCCAGTGTTATAAAGAGCCACCCCTATCCTCACCAGGCATTGACAGCTTCACACCAGAGTCACAGAGGGTGAGGGGCCAGGAAGGAGAGGGAGAGCTAGTCAGACCTGGAAAGGGAATCTGGCTAGAAAATAAAGGAGGGATAAGCAGGCACATCTCTGGAAAAAGCATAAAGCATCCATTTCAACCTTTCTTGCTCCTGTTTACCGTAAAAGAATTTTGAAAATCTTGTATGTATCCCTTTGTATTATGTAAGCTTAACATCTAAATTTTTTCATTGTAATAGCAGCAAGAAATATAGTTTCTGGTGTATTGTAAGTAATAGCTTAAATTATTAAGTCACTCTCATAAATGTACCCAGTGGACTGTAAATACCATCGCAGTTAGACACCTACCTTCAACTAGTTAAAAATACAAATGTCTACTTAACAGTCAGAAATCTCTTCTTCAGCTTATATCTCCATTTCACTCCACCTAAAATTTTACCCCCGAAACTTTACCCTAATGAAATACATTTTTATGCTTGAAGATCTATTACTGATCACATTTGTAATTCTCTGTGATATATTAAATTTGGTTAAATTTTCTGTGACCATAACCTCTAAATATTAAAAAATACCTTATTCTATTATGATCGCTGTTTCAATCACAGTATGTATTTCAAAACAACAGAATATAAATATTGATAATCATTTAGTATGGGCAAAATCTGACTAGAAATGCAACCTGACTAGAGGGAGACAGCTGGTTCATGTTTCCACGGATGACTCTCGCTGACTGTTAAAGTTAGGAGTTTCAGCACCAATTCGGTTTCTGTTTTTCATTTTTATAGATATTAAGTCCTGAGAAACCTTGTTCTCAGAAATAAATAGATGGCAATGGAAGTTTTGTAATTATTTTTAATGATCAACTGACAGCTCAATTGGTTCCCCCTTCAATTTTGTTAAAAGCAGACTCAGGAAACTTGTAACTTGTAAAGGAATTTGGTACCCAGTCATTAGAGTCATTTTCTCAACATTACCAACATTCAGAATTATACCCATGGCACCCTAGACAGCAGGGCAACACATCATCGTCTTCCCTAGAAACAGCGAGGGGTTAGCCTTCTTTTTATAGAGCGGGAAAAGATTATAAGGAACCCCTTAAGCTAGGTGCCTTCTCAGCTCAACTCTAGGAAGTATAATGGAAGCTGAGGTCCTAAAAATTGATTTCCTTAATACTATCCCTGCCTGGGGACTCCATGGCATCTTCCTACCCCCAGGGCTATGTGTGCTCAGACCACTGCTGTTAAGGGCAAACCAAATGGCCTAGAAGAGGTGAGAAAAGTGACTGTCCCTCTGTTGATAGCATTAACACAGAGGATGGTCTCCCTCTGAGTAGACAACCCAACCTGGCAAAGGTTCAAAGAACTGTGCTTAGAAGGAATAATCCTAACTGGGAACACAGCAAAAGCTCAGAGCCTTCAGTTAAGACCCAAGAACAGGCTGCACTGAGCTCCTTTACTGCATCTCCCCACACTGCCTGGCACCAAACAGTTGACTGGCTCAGTGGGGGACACCTGACCCAAAAGGGGCCAATAATATTCTGTCCTCTGGAATTTGGGGCTGGTTTCAGTGGCTAGACAACCGTTTCCCACCATGTGTGACAAGAAACAGAAACAGCTGGTGCACAGAAACATGGTTAAAACAGCTGCATGGCAAAGAGAATGACAGGAAGGACAAGCACTTTGGTCCCAAAGGTATGTACGCCTTGTGAGACCCAGCTCCACTTGGGTTCTGGAAAATCCCCCTTTCTGCATTGCCTGGCTTTAATGAATTTCTGGTACTTGCAATCAGAAGAGTTTTGGCTCAGAGAGGAGTCAGCAGAGACTGTTTCTGAGGAAGTCAGCCTGATGGACCAGTGACATTTACAGCATTATCAAAAGGCACCTGGACATAAGTAGGCCAAGTACATGATTAGATAGTTCACAAAAAAGGAAATATAACTTACTATTTAAAAAAAAACATTAAAAACATTAAAAAGTTTAATGTTTAAATAAAAGAAAAATATTCAACATCACTAATTACAACAGAAAGGCAAGTTAAACCAGAGAAATTTTATCACTTATCAGACTGGCAAAGATGAAAAAGTTTGATACTGCATTTGGCTGACAAAGGGAAGGAGGAACAGGCACCCTCATCACGGCTAAATAGGCACCATCAGCACCATCTCTTGTAGTGAAGAACAGCTATCAAAATTGGAGATGCACATTCTCTCTGCCTTGTAAATCTCACTTCTAGAAATTATTCTACAAATATATTCAACATGTAAAATGACCTGCAAAGATTATACATTTAAGGCAGCGTTTGTAAAAGCAAAAAACTTAAGACCAAATACCCATCAAAAGGAAACTAGTTAAATAAACTATGGTGTATTCATATAAAATGGAATACAATGCAGAAAATGAGATAGAGAACAACTCCAAACTATGAGCAGAGGAAACGTACCAGCTAGGCAAAAATAAAACAGGCAGAGAAGGAAAACGCATCTGCATACATGAATAGAATATACCTGAAGGTAAACAGAAGACACTGGGGTGGAGAAAATACAAGAGAAACATGGAAAGCATCCTGCGTATCAGAAAGCAAAGAAATGCTCAAAGACTAATAGGGGCATGTCAGTAGGACACAGAAGCCAATATGGGCTGAATCTGAGCATCAGCATGAATAATGACACAGACAGTTATTACACTGAATGAGAAAATTACACTAAAACCTCTTAAAAGGAGAGTACTCATCTTCACTGAAATATGTCAACAATGTAGAAAATCACTTTTTTACAACTACCTTAGTAATAAACAATTCAGTCAAGAATCACCAATGAACACTAACACTGGGTGCAAAACCACTGAGGACACAATATTCTCAGTC